TGACTTAGGCAGTAGTGACTGGGATGGCCTCATGCTGGCCTTTCTGCAAGCAGCTGTTAATCTTGTTTTCTGACAGTGCTGAGCACGGTTTGCCCTTGGCTACGCTTGCAGCGAAGCTGTGTCCAGTTGCATCAGTTGCCAGCCGAGAGTCTCTTTTGTAATGAAGACAAAGCTTTTAATGGCAATCGTCAAATGATGCTGTAATAAGACTGGCCTTGGCTGCCTGCTTCCTCTACGTAGTGGAAAGCGTACAGCATGCGTGGTGATTTATCACAGCTCTCACACGTGCACAGAGCTTGAAGAGACAGATGCAGAACAACTGATTTCACATCATCAGGGATCGTGGTCTTTCTGCATATCTGACTTGAGGGACCCTGTATTTCTGCTGCTGGATCAGTCCATTAAAAAGTACTCACCAAGATGGGGCCATGCAACCGATATAAGATGCATGCAGATTCTCCAGCAGCAAAATGTATCCAACCCAGAGCTAGCTCAGCCTCTTTGCACTTCCTGCTGCAACATCATCGCCATCAGAATCTATATGGAATAGCTGAGGGCTTGTCTAGACACTTGTTTGTGCTGCACCAATGAACTTGCTCCAGGACAGACCCCTAGTGAGAATTCACTGCCCTGGTTTCAAAAGGGACTTTTGCCAATGCAGCTTGCCATAGTTCCCACGTCTGCACTAGGGTTAGTGTAACGCTGACAGACCCTGCTCATCGGCAGGTGGGATCGAACCTGGGACTTCTGGGGCTTAGTGCATGAGCCTCTACCGTATAAGCTAAAAGCCAACTGGCTAGTAGCTAAGGCTATAGAGCAGACTCATTTTTCTCTCTCTCTCTAGGTAGTCTCGGTGCCACTAGATGGGACGGACACCACACCCAGAAGGTGTGGGGGTTACATTTGCACTGGTGCAGCTGCAGTAGTTGAAAAGAAAAGTGCAGGCAAGCTGTGGTGGAGAATGGTAGCCCAGACTGACCCCTGGGCTATGCTCTTGGAAGGCCCGAATGCTCATCCCAGCTCTGCCATCATGGTGGTGGGCAAGTCGCTTCACTTCTCTGAATCTGGTCTGTAAAGATAGGACTCGCCTGCCTCATGTGATTGCTGTGATCCCATCTCAGCTGCAAAGCGCTCTGAAGGTGTAAAGTACTCGGCATGATTACTGAGGTTAGGGTTTTGTCACGGTTATTATTAGTAATAGTCATGGACAGGTCATGGGTGACAAACAAAAATTAATGGAAGCCTGTGACCTGTCTGACTTTTATTCAGAATCATGGGAGGAGGGCCTGACGGGGGGCTGACTGAAGCCCATGCTGGGGAAGAGAGCCCGAACCCTACTGCGGGAGGTTTGGCGGGGTCCAGCACCCCACTGCTGTGGGAGCTGACAGTTCTGGGACCCCTGCCCCAGTGTCTGGGAGCCCTTCACCATCCATGGTCGCTGAGAGCTCCAGGGTCCCCACCAACTGACAGCTCTGGCCCCGGTGCCCTGGGGCCGAAGCGGACAATGTCAGGGAGGTCTCTGAAAGTCACAAAATCTGTGACCTCTGTGACATAATCTTCTCCTTAATTCCTACCAGTCAGTTGGGGTTGGGGTGCGGTCGTGTAATTAGGGAAATGCAGAGCCATTCACCTGATAGGAGCAAGTGGCAGAGGGAGCGTTGCAGGTGCTCAGGCGTTGGCTCAGACACACCTCACGCAGTTCCCCCGCATTAAAATGTACCATGGAAAGCAAACGTGCTTCAGGAACCTAGTCATCTTGGAGCCTGCACGGGGCAGGTGTGTTGCTTTGACCTGCAGGAGCTGGCTTCCTTTAGTATAAGTCAGGAGTTCCTCTCCCATAGAGCCTGAGCATCAGCCACTGAAGTCAAGGGGAGTGTTTCCATTGACTTCAGTGGGCTGGTTCAGGCCCACATTGCTCAGGGACACTCTCTGTTTTCATTTTATGGCCCAGTCCTGTTTTAATTTCTTATCCCCATGTCGTTTTGTCGCATAGAGCCTCCTCCCACTGCTAGTTTGATCTAGTCTACACTAGAAAAGATTGGCTGATGTAGCTATACTGGCAAACCCTACCAGTGCAAACACAATTTGTACCAGTAAAAGTATTTTTGCCACTCTAGCTTACTCCAGTTCCCCAAATGAAATAAGTTACATAGCCAAAAGCAATTTTATGCCAGTATAATCACATCTACACTATGCCTTTTGCCAATATAGAAATGCCATAAAAAATAATCACACCTCTAACCCGACATTCCTATAGCTAGCTAAAGTTCTAGCATCAACCTAGTGTTAGTCTAAGAAACAACTGGAGATTTGTAGTTTCAGTTGGATACAGGAGTCCCTTTTGCTTTCTGTCTTAAGTTATTGTTTAGTGTTGCTGGGTGCTGCTAAACTGCTATCATGTTCCACCCCAGAGCTGGCTGCATTTAAGTGATGGATTAAATAGCTCCTGAACAGTGTGTAACACAGTTTGGATTAAAGATTCTTTAGAAATGTAAGTAGTTCTTAATTACAAATAATTATCTTTGGAATCTCACATTTTGAACTTCACCAGTTTTGGGAGGAATCAATCTAAGCCCATTTGCCACACACAAATTTCGGGGAAATCTTTCAGTATCAGGTTTTGGTTTAACTCCCTGGACCTAGGCTTCTCCACTGTAGCCCCATGAACCACATTCAAACAGTGTAACACAGTGTGTTCTCTAAGCGTACGTGGCATTATGCTGTTTCAGGAAATTTCATAATGTGTGATAAACATTCTTAGACCGTATGTGGTCATTACTTTGTAAAATCATTCCATTTTTTAGCCAGTGTGATCTCATTAGGGTTGATCATAAAACAAAACTGCTGTAATCTTTACAGTAATGTCCCCACATGCTGCTGTAACACACTTGTAAGCCAAAGTTGTATTTATGTAAATGAATCCAGTGTTCATTCTGTAACGCAGAAAGGTTTGCAAAAAAAATTCCATTTTGCAACAATTACTGTAAACCTTCCCGGATGCCTGTGGTGTGATCTGTGATGGTAAACTAGGGTGCTTGCAGACTTTTCTACTGATACATTGCTGGCTTTGGTTTTTAAGAAAGCGAAACCATCCATTTCACACCACCGAGTCCTTCCTTTGGTAATTAAAGGGGTGTGAAAAACCTCAGTGCAAAACGAACCTGTTGAAAGTCTGAGCAACTGAGAATGGGTTAAAATAAAATTATTTCTCAGTCACTTCAAGCAAATGCTAAACTACTCAGGGACTTAAACTTGCACTTGCCCAGCAGCTATTTGCTATTTTCCCTCCGGTATCAATGCCATAAAAGCGATGCCAGCCCAAGGAGCCCCTGCAAGCCTTGGGGCCCAGTATGTCCCAGAGCAGGGAGGCTAGAATGGTCTGCAGTGTTCCCAGCTGGCACCTGTTCTGAACGTTCCCATGCCGCTCTAACCTGGGGTGGCAGTCACTGAGACACCAATACAATGGGCACTGAATTCAAATCTTGATTCCAGTCAGAATCTCCTACAGATGCTTATCAGGGTTGTGTTACTATTGCTTTTCACTCTTCTGTGCCACTGTATTTCCCAGGCCCCCTCAAGATCAGAAAGGAAGGTGGTGTTGGAAAAGCTCCGAGACACAACCTTCTTTGACACGTTTCAGAGTAGCAGCCGTGTTAGTCTGTATCCGTGAAAAGAACAGGAGGACTTGTGGCACCTTCAAGACTAACCAATTTAATTGAGCGTAAGCTTTTGTGAGCTATGGGGATGCATCGGATGAAGTGAGCTGTAGCTCAGGAAAGCTTATGCTCCAATAAATTGGTTATCCTTCTTTGAGGGGCTTCAACTCCCGTTCCCAGGGGGTGGGTCCTATTCTTGAATGAAGGAATGTTTTTCCTCTTCAGGTGTATGTGGCTTTAAGGTGCAGGGCTCGAGAAACCAAGGGCTTGTAGGGTCCAGTATAGGTTGTGGGCACTGGTCTTCCAGTCCGTGACCAGAAAGAGGAGAAAATGCCTCTCTCGGAGTTGCTGTAGAAACGTGCTCCAGGGTAAGCGACGTGCAGCTGGTCCTGAGAGTGTGAGTTGAATGATGTGGTTGGAGCCGGGGCTCAGGATCCAGCCTGACTTCAGAGGCAGTACCCGCAGCAGCTCTGCGTTGCCTTTCCCTACTCTCACTTCTAGTCTGTTCATACTTCCCTTTACTCCTTCCTTCCCCTGCCCCGGAAACCTGCTCCCCAGGCCCCAGCGCCCGGCTGGCAGGTGGGCAACTCCCTCCTTCGCCTTGGGCGGCTCTGTCCGGCCGCTGCAGCGCCCCCGAGTGTGAAATCCGAGCCGGGGGGGACTTGCAGCCTGAGCAGCCAAGGGGCCGCCGGGGAGTGTAGCCGGCTGCTGTCGCTGGTCTACGCCCGCCACCTGCGCGGGGCAGGGGTAAGCAGCCAGCGCCGCGGCGGTGCAGAGACTCCTCGGTGGGACATTACGGTAAATGCGGAGGGGTCCCCGCCCGGGTGCCGCTTCCTCCAATCCCGCGCGGCAGCCCCCGCCCCCGCGGGCAGAAATAGCAGCCGAGCCGCCGCGGAGCCGTAAGTGGGCGCAGGAGCCGCTCGCACCGGGGCCGGCCGCGGACACAGCCCGCCGGAGCAGCGCCCCGGGGCCGGGCAAGAGTCGGCCGGAGAGCCGCCGCTGGCAGCCCTCGCTCAACGCGCCGGGGCGCTCGGGGAGTTCCTCGGCTCGCTGGTCCCGCGCCGCCCGGAGACCAGCCGTGCCCCGAGGGATGCCCCGGCGGGGGGAACCCCCTGCGCCCCGCCGGGCGCCGCAGCTGGGCTCCTGACTCCCTGAGCGGGGAGCAAGCGCGGGGAGCCCAGCTCGCCGTGGAGGGGGAGCCCCAGCGGTGGCGCTGCCAGGGGCTCTGCCTCTCCAGGGCGCAGCAGGTGTTTCCCAGGGGCGTTGCTGAGCCCAGCCGCAAGGGGACCATGCCCTCCCGGCGGAGCCAGGGGCGAGCTGCGCCCACCGCCCACTGACGGGCCCCCTCCCTGGGAAAGACCATGGTAAGGGCTCCCAGGCCGGGGCTGCTCATCGCTGGGGACTGCCGCGCCCTGGACAGAGCCGCCTCCACGTGAGCCTCCCACCCCTCATGATGGACACGGTCTACATCGTGCTGGAGCTGATCATCGCCGTGCTCTCCATCGCGGGCAACGTCCTGGTGTGCTGGGCCGTGGCCATCAACAGCACCCTGAAGAACGCCACCAACTACATCCTGGTGTCGCTGGCCGTGGCCGACATTGCCGTGGGCTTGCTGGCCATCCCCTTTGCCATCACCATCAGCGTTGGCCTCCACACGGATTTCTACAGCTGCCTCTTCTTCGCCTGCTTTGTGCTGGTGCTGACCCAGAGCTCCATCTTCAGCCTGCTGGCCGTGGCCATCGACCGGTACCTGGCTATCAAGGTCCCGCTCAGGTACGGGAGGGGATGTGGGCACTTGGCATTGCACGGCCCAGCGCTAGCGAGCCCCGAGCCCGCTAGTGCGAAGCCAGGAGAGTGTTACAGGTGGGGGAACTGAGCAGCCAAGGACTGACTGCAGGCAGGCAGGGGCTGTGCCGGGGAAGGCGCTATGGGAAGACAGGACGCTGGACTAGATGGACCATTGGTCTGACCCGGCAGGGCCATTCTTCTATTCTTAAATGCAGGAGGCTTTGTCTGTGGCTGCCAGGGGCCCAGGACCAGACTTTCAAAAGAGCTCCGTTCCCGTTGGGTTGCAAATCTGCCCACCTGTTTTGAGTGCCTAAAGGGGAGCGGAGCTCTTTGGAAAATCTTCCGTGCCCAAGGCCACAAGGCCGTGGGAGAGCTGGGAATAGCTCTATCTAATCACCTCGGTATTTTTATATTCTCCATCAGTGCAGTGTCTGAGCATCTCCCAAGTAATGAAAGACAAGACCAACATCTTTCTCCTGCTTCTCCACGTATTTTAGAATAGCTCGAGTCGTTTATCATAGGTTCTTTAACAATTCTCGGCTCCCTTGGTCAGCTCAGCCCTTGCTGCCTATAGAGGTTGGAGCTGCCAGTGATCTTATAAGTGAGCTTACGAGTTACTTTTTAGTCCAACTATCACCTTCCACCTAGCTCAGAATCTCCACCTGCCCTTGAGCCCAAAATAGGCTGGTGTTTTTCGCTGTTTAGAAGGGATCGCTCTGCCCTGGGTTGAAGGGAAGGGAGAGTAAGTGTACAAATGCTAAAATCATATCTCGCTGAACACAGGTACTTCTTATGTATAATTGCTTTTTATTTAAGCAAGGAAGTGAATGTATAAATTGTAAACCCAACAAGATATCAACTCTACAAACAGAAGGCGAAATACGCAAATCACATTTCCTTAGCCCCAGCCACTAGCCCGTTCACACAATGTTCTGAGATCACCAGGCTGTTATTCCAGAACAAATATGCTTCTGCTGAAAGGCCAGCTGCCTGGGGTGCAGGGTTGCGTAGGGTCTGACTATGTGGGTTCTGTTTTTTAAAAGAAACCCACAACGCCTGAAGGAGGATTGATTGGTGTGGGTTTTGTTTTCCTCTTTTATCCCCCAATTGACCACTAAGAAACTAATCAAAATTGGATCACAAGAGACCTGAATTGGTCTCACACTAGTTCTGGGGACAGAGGAACATACTGGACAAAGCACAGTAAATATATTCTTTATCGAGGCTTCCACAATGGGTTTGTGGAGCAGCCTCCTGTCATCTGGAAAAGTGCATCCAAAACCTGGATTTTTGGGTCACAAGTGAAGCAAATCGCAGGTGTGGGATAATCTGACCCTTGCATAGGTGTCACCCTGGTTTCTGACAGAGATTGTCTTAAACTGGGAAGCACGAGGGTTAATATCCCTTCCAGAAGGTGTTAACAAGATTAAACATTTATCCCTAGAAATGCCCAGTCCCTTGCCTCAGTCTTGTGGAGGGCTCACCTGTCCCTACTGCACAACCACCGTTGCAATTGGTCTGACGGGATGAGGACCAGGAGAGCGGGGGTTGGGTCGGGCTTGCGAGGCATCGGCGGAGCTGTGTTGGGGAGTCCAGGCCTGGAATGGCAAATGGGAGCAGGAGTTCGGAGAGAAGAGCTGGGGGGAAGGGGGTCCGAGTCGGGGCATTAGGGGATGCAGCAGGTTTGAAGTGAGGTGCGTTGGCCAAGCTCTGTGGCTCTTTTCTGCCTACACTCTGCTTGTTTCCAGTGTCTCATTTTCACGAGCAAAACATGCTCTCTGACATAACTTTAAAAGGAATAACCAGACTCGCCTTTTTCTCCCACCTTGCCGGAGAGAATCTCAGTGCGCGTGACAAACATTCATGAATCATCCGGCAGGTGAGGTACAAGCCTCTCGGGAAACGGCGGACAGAGGGAGGGTGTATGTGTCGTCAGCAGATTGATTCCATGGCGTGTACTGGAGCTGGGGACAGATCTGAAGCTTTAGTACTTCTGGATAGAAGCATCTGAATCCTTGTCAGCTCATCTGAAACCGGCTAATCATTTACCTTCCAGCCACGGGGGTAATCTGAGTAAATTGTTTTTTGGCTTCAGACAATGGTTCGGTGTCTGCTCCATTTATTTATTTTTTTCTAAATTGACCCAGAGCACTGGGAGCAGCTGCAAGGGAGTCTGATGGCTCTTTTCAGCCAGACGGTTCCTCAAACCACCCATGGCGTGCAAGGCGCTGCAGTGTGGGCTGTTAGTTCTACTCGCTGTCTGTGTACCGTGACTCTTTTCTGTGGCGCTTGGCTGAGGAAGTTGAGCAGGTGTGAATACAATTGCTGCCCCAGGTGGAAGTTCAGCTGAACGTAACAGAGCAGATGTTCTTGGGGGATTATTGCGAGCCCGATCCTGGGTGTGTAGATGGAAAACATTTCTGACAACCGATGACAAGGAAAATATTTCTTCTCCCTCTTTTTGTTTGTTTGTTTTTCTTCTCTATTTGCAGCAGGTTTATTGTGCAACTCCAGGTTGGGTCAGGACTGGGTTTATGCACCTCTCTGAGCTGAGATCCAGGGGCCTTGGTTACAAGGTTTAGGGAAATCTCCTAGGCAGTGGCTCTGGGGTGAAGTGAGTGAGACCTGGTCCAAGCAGCTGTGCTAGTTAGACACACATGCTGTTTTTTGAAGGAGAGTTTTGTTGTGGAAACGGAAAGTTGGCTGTTAAATTACAGGGGAATGAACTTGCGGGGAGCTGTATTTCCAGCTAAAAGGCTTGTCCAGGGGAGTGACTCCGGAGCTCAGTGAAGTCTTTTATCTCTGGATTGGGTGCCAACCATTTCCTTAAAGGTCACTGTTTGGTGGATCATGTGAAATGACGCGTTCTGTCTCAGTGGACAAGTGTCCATGCCAGCAACGCCGTGGGCACTACGCACCTCCCTGGTGGCAGAAGCCAAGGACTGAGTGGGCTGCAGAGTTTGGAGTTTGTCCTTTGTTCATTAGCATGGGAAGGGCGGAGGGTGCTCATCTGCTTGGTTGCTTTGCTTAAAACACGCATGGTGGCTTCTGGCAAGTGGGCTTGTTCTTCCTTCTTCCCCTTCCTGTGTGCCTGCCTGCTGTCACTGTGGGAGGGCGTCTTGTTCCTCTTTCTGCCCCAGCCTTGCTGGGTATTGCAGGAAGCACCTTTCCTCCTGAATGTCCTGAACCTAGGACATCTGGCAACAGGGGCAAGCCCAGGCTACCTAGCCCCATGCAGGTTGTGCTCTACACAAGGAGCAGGCAAGTGTGTAAAGCCCATTGGCCGGAGTTTGCTGGTTTCTGTGGGGAAGTTTGTGCCAGTCCTGTTCTTCCTCAGTGTAGATCCTAGCAGCCCTTCCCAGCTGGAATGTAGGAAGACAAGGCTCCGTGTTTGGGGTCAGCTCCACTCCCAGCAGAACATGGACACCTCATATTGATCTGATCAGGATATCTCAGTACCACGAAGTTAATGGTCAGCCTGGTCGCTGCCCCTGGACATCACACTGTGTGTCTGCAGGCCCAGACAGCTGCACGGCGAGGAGAGGAGTCACACAGGCTGCAGGGGCAGGGCTGGGCATGAAGCACAGAAGAAATGTGTCCCCTGTGACTGCTCTGCCATGTCCCTTTTAAATCCCCAGCACAGACTTTGGGATGGTGAGAGAGCGCAGAACAGCCCGCTCTGTCAACGGCCACAGCCTCCCCCACCAAGCAGCCAGCAGGGTGCAGCAGATGTGCCAGGAATTAGCAGCCCCAGCTGTGTCTTAGAGGTGCACTCTCTTCCCTCCCCAGCCTGCTTTCCAATTCAGAGACTGGCTCAGGGGCTTTGCAAGTGCTAAAGAGCAGATTATTGCTGCTGATCCTGTTAGTGACGTCAACCCCATGGCAGGAGCCACAAATAACCTGCCAGTCCATCTTGTGGCATCTTCCCTCTGCCCCGTAATTCTGTTTGTAGGACCGCCAGGTTAATGGAGTGAACTGCACATCTAGGCCCAGAGCAGAGAAAGCCTTGCCTTCACCCAGCCACTCCCCACGCTCACATACGCAGAGACTCGCATATCCGCACACATACTCCCCTGGCACAGTCACACTTGCCGGTGCATGCTGCATTCTCTGTCACGCTCACTCCCACCCCTGACAGTACCATGGATCACAGACATGTTTGAGGTAGAGTCCATCTGGGATGACTCCCACCATGTCCCTGTGGGTTCATCACAGTCATTGGGCAGCACCTGGTCACTGGCCACTTGCCATTCATTGCTCAGCTGGCCCGTCAAGACAGCTTCAGGATCCGGCCCCTGCTTGGAGTCATGCCCTGGGGCACTGCAGGGTTTGAGCAGTGCCAGATCTAGTCATGGGAGGGAGGTACCTGATTCCTAGGGCTTCCCCAGCCAGCTGGAATGCAAGGAGATTCCCGCTGCTAAACTGTGCCCACCCGAGGTGTAACTAGGCCGTGTGGGATGCTGGTCAGGGCTCTGTGCAGGATGGACTGGTCATGGGGCTGGCATGCAGAGGGCTGTGCTGGGAGCTAGGAGGCCCAGATGCCTGCTGTTTTTGTGGGTAGCCAGGACTAGATGAGACCTTTCCTGAGGCTTTTTAATGTGCTGTTTGACTAGATCCTCCCCTGGCTAGGGGAAGGACTTGGATTATCTATCGCTCTGCCATCCTTCTGACCACTCTGCTCCTTGCTTGGCTGTAGTGGGAAATGGTGTGTCGGCAATGTGTAGGTGCTGCACTGCCCCTTACAGGCTGGAATCAAACTCACTCAGCTGTGTATCATAATTCCCCTACTGCTAATAGCTAATGGCTGTTCCTTTCACTCAAGCAGCAGGGGATCTGTGCTGTTGTAGCAAGAAGATCTGAGTTCTTTGCATGCTGCTGTGAGGTTTGGAGTGGTTAACTCACTGCCTTGGGCACCAACTGGGCACTGAGAGTCGGTGTCTGAAGGCATCAGCAGGCCAGGGGGCAGTGAGTAGCACACTGACAGCAGTGAGGGTCGTACATGGCTCTAGCCCCTTTGTTCTCGCCCCTTCCAGCCCTGCAGACTTAGACACGGTCAGCCACACAGTCGGGCTCCAGGAGTGGGAATCTTCCTAGAGCGAGAGCAAGTCAGGGAGGTCTTTTCAAAGCCTGACTAAAGGAATGGTGGTGTGCTAGCTGTATTCATAGAACTGGAAGGGACCTCGAGAGGTCATCTAGTCCAGTCCCCTGCACTCATGGCAGGACTAAGTATTATCTAAACCATCCCTGACAGGTGTTTGTCTAACCTGCTCTTAAAAGTCTCCAATGATGGAGATTCCACAACCTCCCTGGGCAATTTATTCCATGGCTTAAAACGACCCTGACAGTTAGGAAGTTTTTTCTAATGTCCAACCTAAACCTCCCTTGCTGCAATTTAAGCCCATTGCTTCTTGTCCTGTCCTCAGACATTAAGGAGAAGATTTTTTTTGTCCCTCCTCCTTGTAACAATCTTTTCTGTACTTGAAAACTGTTATCATGTCCCCTGTCAGTCTTCTCTTTTCCAGATTAAACAAACTAAATGTTTTCAATCTTCCCTCATAGGTCATGTGTTCTAGGCCTGTAATAATTTCTGTTGCTCTTCTCTGGACTTTGTCCAATTTGTCCACATCTTTCCTGAAATGCGGCGCCCAGAACTGGACACAATACTCCAGTTAAGGCCTAATCAGTGTGGAGTAGAGAGGAAGAATTACTTCTCGTGTCTTGCTTACAATGCTCCTACTAATACATCCCATAAAACGTAAGAATGGCCATACTGGGTCAGACTAAAGGTCCATCTAGCCCAGTATCCTGTCTTCTGACAGTGGCCAATGCCAGGTGCTTCAGAGGGAATGAACAGAACAGGTAATCAAGTGATCCACCCTGTTGCCCAATAGTGTTACACTGTTGACTCTCATTTAGCTTGTGGTCCTGGACCTCCAGATCCCTTTTCGCAGTACTCCTTTCTAGGCAGCCTTTTCCCATTTTGTATATATGCAACTGATTGTTCCTTCCTAAGTGGAGTACTTTGCATTTGTCCCTACTGAATTTCATCCTCTTTACTTCAGACTATTTCTCCAGTTTGTCCAGGTCATTTTGAATTATAATCCTATCCTCCAAAGCACTTGCAACCCCTCCCAGCTTGGTATTGTCTGCAAACGTTGTAAGTGTATTCTCTATGCCATTATCTAAATCACCGATGAAGATATTGAACAGAACTGGACCCAGAACGGATCTCTGAGGGACCCCACTTGTTATGCCCTTCCAGCATGACTGTGAACCACTAATAACTACTCTCTGGGAACAGTTTTCCAACCAGTTTTGCACCCACCTTATAGTAGCTCCATCTAGGCTGCATTTCCCTAGTTTATGAGAAGGTCACGTGAGACTGTATCAAAAGCTTTACTAAAGTCAAGACATACCACATCTATTGCTTCCCCCGAATCCACAAGGCTTGTTACCCTGTCAAAGAAAGCTATCAGGTTGGTTTGATGCAATTTGTTTTTGACAAATCCATGCTGACTGTTACTTATCTTCTAGATATTTGCGAATTGATTGCTTAATTATTTGCTCCTTTATTTTCCGGGTACAGAAGTTAAGCTGACGGGTCTGTAATTCCCTGGGCTGTCCTTATTTCTCTTTTTATAGATGGGCACTATATTTGCCTTTTTCCAGTCCTCTGGAATCTCTTCCGTCTTCCATGACTTTTCAGAGATAATTGCTAATGGCTCAAATATCTCCTCAGTCAGGTCCTTGAGTATTCTAGGATGCATTTCATCAGGCCCTGGTGACCTGAAGATATCTAACTTGTCTAAGGCCTTGTTTACACTACAGGGGAAATTCAATCTAAGCTACGCAATTTGAGTTACGTGAATAGTGTAACTCAAATTGACGTAGCTTAGATCTACCTACCGCAGGGTCCACACTACACGATGTCGACAGGAGAGCAATCTGCAGTCGATTTAGCGGGTGTTCACTGACTGATCTGACCTGTTGGTCCATCCTGGCCCAAGCACAGACAGATGGAACAGCAGTGGTGAAAAGTACATTAGATTTGTCCTATATTCCTTCGTAAGCTCAGCAGTTATTGGGGGCAATGGCAAAGTTAAACACATGGGGGCCAGATCTTTGGAGTGCCGATGGGAGCTGGGAGTGATCAGTGCACTGCTTCGCATGTGATTCTTACCTGCCCCTACTTGTTCCCATGGCGAACATTAGCTTCCGCTTCAGGCTGTGGCTTCCACTGTCTCTTTGCTTGAAAGGCTGGGTGATCTCATTCCCATGTCAGTGCCCACAGTGCCCGCCCCGTTCTTGCGCAATGGTGCTAGGAGCATGTGGGAGGGCTTGGGTGTGTTCTCTAGGCTGTCTAAGCCAGAGCTGGGGCAGGCTCTTCCATGCAGAGCCTCTGTATCTCTCAGTCCAGCTGTGCTTGACAGCATAATGCGTGGTCTTGTTCCAGCTCCGTCCGCGCGTTACATCGGCTCCTACCCCTGGTTATCAGGAATTACGGGTAAAAAGAGTCTTGGTCTGAGCTGCTACAGGAACTTGCGCCCAAGTGACAGAGCCTGGGGATGGATCTTAATAACAATAATACCTAACGTGCTGATTGTACCTTCCATCCAAGACTCTCAAAGGCTCTTACTGCATTAGGCCTCACCTCCCACATGCAAGGCAGGGACATGTGATTGCTCCCCCGTGCGTAACATGGGGATAGAGGAGAAGTGATTTGCCCGAGATCAAACAGCAGAGCCTCCTCCCTCCTGGGTCTGTGCTTTGACCACTAGACAGCGCTTCTCCACACTCACTCCCACTTCAGATTCTTTTCCTGTTAAAAGAAAAAAAGTGGCTTGTTTCCCCCTCCAAGTTGCCACTCCTGATATCGTCGTTGGACCACATGGGCAGGGAGAGATGCTCTCAGAGGAGAGGAGAGCACTGTTTATCTCCACAGAGTTTAGTGCACCCAGGTCTGTGGAGCTAGAGCAGGGCTGAGTTTGACTCCAGGGTCTGTCTTCCGTCGTTGCTGTCTCTGTGCAGCATTGTGTTCTTGAGGCTCAGCAATGTCACTTTGACAGGGACAGTCTTGTCTCCACACTGAGACGTTTGTGACTTGCTGTCTGGATTGTCAGAGACTGGAACTGCTCAGTCTAAGGTCTCGTCTGCACCGCTGGGGATTATCAGTGCGCAGCAATCAGTGTCACTCCTCCAGTGCAAACTCCTAGCACAGATCTGAAAAGCAGCGATTTCCACCAAGGAGCTCTTCTCTGCTCCAAACAGTGTTTGCTCAATGGGGCAGGTGCCTGGAGCAGACATCGGGGCAGGCTAGTTTTCCACTTGAAAAGGAAACCCTCCTACTGCAGACACCGTTCTGCTGGTAAAAACAGGGTCTGGGTATGCTGGTTCAGTGAGCGGAACCAGAAAAAGGACTTTGATGGCGATATAACTGCATTTACGCTAGGGCTTTTGCCAGTATAGATCTAAAAAAAATCATAGAGCTATACAGTAACTCCTCACTGTCCTGGTTAACATTGTTACGTCACTGATCAATTAGAGAACATGCTCATTTAAAGTTGCGCAATGCTCCCTTATAAGGTTGTTTGGCAGCTGTATGCTTTGTCCACTGCTTGCAGGAAGAGCAGCCCGTTGGAGCGAGCTGGTGGGTGCTTGGAACCAGGGTGGGCCGGCAGCCCCCCATCAGCTCCCCTAAGTTCCCTGTGCGGCAGCCACCCAGTGTCTCCTCCCTCCATTCATGCTGCCTTGTAGCGTGTGAGGCTACATTAACAGCAACGAGTTAACCCTTGAGGGCTCAGCCGAGTGCTAGTTCATCATTTAGCAGTAAGGCTTTCCCTGGGAAATATCCCCCCTTCTGACTCCACCACCTCAACCAAGCTACAGTCATCATTGCTGTGGACAGTATTAAATTGTTTGTTTAAAACTTACACTGTGTGTGTGTGTGTGTGTGTGTGTGTGAGAGAGAGAGAGACTCTTTTGTCTGGCAAAAAAAATTTCCCTGGAACCTAACCCCCCCATTTACATTAATTTTTTATGGGGAGATTGGATTCGCTTAACATCGTTTCACTTAAAGTAGCATTTTTCAGGAACATCACTGCAGCCTTAAGCAAGGAGTTAGTGTATTGGCAAAGGTTTCTAGTGTAGACTTGGGCTTAGTCAAAGCATGTAAGGGCAGGAGCCCATCCCCTTCCTGGGCCATGGATGACCCAGAGGCCAAGGCTGGAGCTGCAGGGGGTTGAGCGGGAGGCTCTGTTACTGTGGTGAGTGGTGATTAATGAGCCTGGAACGCTCCAGCATGGTCAGGGAGAACTCGGGGTGGAACAATTAACCCGGGTACTTAAAAACGGGGCTCCATGTTCGAAAAACGAAGCAAATGTTTAAACAAATCACGTCCTCTGATGCTCTGCACCAGCACAACCTCCCCAGCTCTGCTGCCACGGCTCTGGGACAGAGGCTGCAGGAAGACCTGATTAAAGCCAATGGCCTAAGCTAGGGTTTTTTGGAGACATCATTCCCTGGTGGAAGCTGTACCCTTGACAAGGCTCAAACCGGCTCCTGCTTTTTGTTAGGGTAGCACCCAGAGGCTCACAGTACAAACCCCTAGGAAGACCCAGCCTCCTACCCCAAGGAGTTTCAGAAATACAATAGCCAGCCCCTGCCTGGTGCTTTACAAACATTTTCTTTTCCTCATCACACCCACCTTACAGAAGGGGAAATGGAGGCACAGAGGCCAAGTGACTTGCTCTTGGTCGCACAGCGAGGTGGTGGTTGAGCACTATTCTCAATGCACTAGCCCAGAGTGCCTATTGGTAGTTTGGTGTGCAGGGTGTGACAGGGTTGATTAGTGCAATGCTGAGGGACCTGGGGGTGCTGGCTTAGTCACCTTCCATCCAGTCTTCCTGCTCCTGAGCATTTGGAGGGTTCTCTTTGTACAGCACCTAGCACAATGGGTCCGTTGCACAACTGGGGCTCCTGCTGCAGTAGAAATAATCAATCATCGTTCAGTGTGATGTACCAAAGCACAGCAGCCAGCTGGCAATGCAGCCTGTGCTGCTGGACAAATTAAACAATCAGACCTATTAGTCTGCCGCAGGTTCTGCCTTTGCCAATCTCAGTGTTACATACTCAGCAGATTCACTCCAAGGACATGGACAGGTGCCTTTGGCAGGACCTAGTGGTCTGTTCTGGGATAGATTCTCCTATGTGGCATCACCAGTGGGCCCGAGCTGGTCTGTGAAAGCAAATGCACTTTGCCCCAGGGATGTGACAAAGTGAAACCGGGGCCATTTAACTGGGAAACGACTAGTGAAATAAACCGCTTTCGCCATCTGTCAGGCAGCTCCTGATGGTGTAGGAGCCATATGCAGGTGAGACGCTGGTTCCCTTATGCCACAGAGAAAATGCTCTTCACCAAACTAGGCGCTGTAGCAAAGGTGGCAGCAGTGTGAGAGGTGCCTTTACTGGTTCGAGGGCGGAGCTGAGATGCTGCATGACAGCAGGATGATCCCAGTGGCTGGGGATGGTGTTGACATGTCCAGCAATGTGTCCATATCATTGAACAGTGGCAGAGCTAATTATCTACTAATTGATTATTAAACCTACCTAGCTGCGTAAAAGGAACCAATCTATTGCCAGGTTGTTTAACCGCAATATATCACTCTTAAATAACCAGCTGATATTGACACTACAATAACTCGTTACTTCTAGGCAGAGACATCAAGTAGTTCCAATATTTGCTGTGGGTTAATTGAGCAGCTTTAGGTGAGTAAATTTACTTCTCTGTGTAATAATAGCAAACCTCAAAAAGAGAAGGGGATTTGATCGGAGCCTGTTAAAGGAGTTTTCAGAGCTTGGGACACCCCTGGCCCCTTCCTGCTTCTAGTTCTCAGAAGAAACCTCAATCCAAAATCAGTTTTCCTACAGTTATTCCCCCCCCTCCATTGTGCCTGGGTACTTGCTGGTTAGTGTGGGGTTGTGAGCATATTGGGTTGTTAGTCTAGAGTTGTTCCTGGGCAAAGGGCTGCCGACAACTGTTCTGAAAGAAATAAAACACCTGTATCCTGATCTCAGGCTTGGCCTTACCTTTAAGTATGTGCTTATCTTCCACTGAAGTCACTGTCCTCAAGTGCTTTGGCCCAGACCTTCAAAGGGATTTGATCTTGGTGGGAGTTAGGTGCCTAAATACCTGTGAGGATCTAGGCCTTTGTCCAATGAGGACTGTAGAGATTTGTTTTTTTGTGGGAAATACATATCTAAAGGCTTCCTTGAAAATATGGGTGGGGGAGGGGGAGTAAATCCAGGTTAGGATTGCAACTGACCTTGCTGAGGTCCATTGAAATATCTGTCGAGTCTGTCAATTAAGACTGAACCTAGGTGATCAGTGAAAAACATTTTGACCCTGAACATTTCATGACTTTGCTTTGGCCCCATTCACGCCCTAAGTTCCCTCTAAGCTGCGCAGCCGTGCAGCAGGCTATCAAGAGTCGTGCAGGTGCACAGCCACAGGGGCTTGGACTGCAGAGGAGAGGTAGGGGGCATGCAGGGCTGTGGTGGGGAGAGGCACCTCTCTCCCGGCCCTGGAGCTGCCATGGTGAGAGAGGGCTGGGGGGAGTCCTCTCTCCCCTCCACAGCCCCGGGGCAGTCTGAACCCCTCATCCCTGGCCGCACCTCCAGTGAGACCCCTCACACTCCTCTGCACCTCAACCCTCTGCCCCAGCCTTGAGCCCCCTCCCACACTCTGAACCCCTCGGCCCCATCCCCACCACACATCACCTCCATATTGGTGCACATAACAATATTCATTCCGCACATGGATGTAAAAAAGTAGAGGGAACACTGTAATCATGCCCTGTTTGTGTCTGCTTCTCACCAGCATCTGAATGACACAACTTCCTCACACAAATGTTCACGGATGGCACATGTACAGTGCTGCTCCTGCAATCGGAACAGAATCAGGTTTTATCAGCCTAAACACAACAAGGCAATGCAGCAAGAACACCGTGTTACTTACAGTCAGTCCTGCAACACCCACCAGCAGAATGAAGAGTTCGCTCCAGGGGCAGAGGGCTCACCATGAGCAGCTGCCTCTGGTGTAACTGCTACCAGCTCTTTCCTGAGCCTATGCGGCCTGCAGCTGTTGGCATTGTTCTGTTCTGGCTCATGCAGTCAGTACATTTTCCATTCTCTTCCATGCACTGGCAAGAGGGCTCTGGTTAAATCTGGTTTTGGCCACAATCGTGTTTCTCTGCTGGTTAAGAATGAGCAGCACTCAAATAAACAAGCCATGGTTGCAACTTCTCAGAAAGATAAACGGCTGCTTAATTCACTTTACAAACCTTTGGCAGGACTCATCTGGGGTATGTTTTCAGGAAGTGACAGTACTTAACGTCACATGCCCAGAAACAGCGTGTAGGTCAGTGGCCTCATAACTCACTGGGTTTCAAGACCCTTTGGTTGATGGGCTATGTCTGCTTTTCATTACCCAGCCTAATTTGTTTGGAGACAAGTAGGACTTGGGGAGCGCTGTGCTGCAAACCACCCCTGACTCCCATGTTCTCTCCACCTGTACAAGCCCCATTCCCCTCGGTTATTACAATAAACCTCACAACACCCATGGGAGCTGGGTCAGAGGAGCAAACTGAGGCTAAGTGACTTGCTCAGGGTCACACAGTTCAGTAAGCAGCAGAATCAAGAACAGAACCGAGGAGCCTGCTACCTAGTGTCCTGACCACTGTATGCTCTCCCCTCGGAAGAGTGCTGAGATCTCCCCATAGAGCTGTTCCAGGTTGGAGAACAGGAATTTACACTGTGGGCTCGATCGCTTTTCATCAGACTGCTGATCCAAACAAACACTGAAAGTGCCCAGCTCTCGGAACCACAGCTGGGGTCTCCCAGTGGGGCACCACCATGACGGCACTCCGAGTTAGTGGGTACTTTTGGAAATGTTGGACATAAAGTCACTGGTCCTGTTTATTCCATCTGTGAAACGGGCAGTAATTACTGAGCCATCTGGGGTACTGGGAAGTTAGTGGGCAATACTGAGAGGAGAATCGAGCCCAGATAGCTTCATGCAGCAGAAGACATGGGTATAGTACATGGCTTGCAGTACACATTCCTTCAGCGCATGATGATCCCTTCTCTTCAATCTCTAGGCTACAGCAGAACGTTAAAGCCCAGACACACCTGGGTGACACTGCTGTTTCCTGGTGGTTTGTATTTGACCTGTACACTCAGGACAAATCTGGCTGAACTGGGACTGTGTGTCTGTCTGTCTTCCACGAGGACGCAGAGCTTGCTCCTGTGCAGTTCATATGCAGCATGTACAGCTGCAGTTCTGTGGGAACACGGCCCCCTCCCTCCCAGCCAGCCAAAAATGAGAACATTTCTCTTCCGAAAGGCGGGGAGAGGAGTCCAGAGTAAACAAGAACAAAGCGAACAGAGAGAGGGGCATATCAAGCCAGGGGGTGCTAAATTATGAATGCAGCCTAATTGGCTGTACACAGGACTCTTCTTGGCCTCTCAGATTCTTTCTTGCCTCAGGCTCCCCCCATCCCCCAATACCTCAAAAAAGCAGGCTTTCCGTAGCTCTGGGCTCAGCTTGGGGTCTGTTCTAATTCTACCCAGAGCAGCTGGCCGTTTGCTGTCTGGGTCTTCATGGGATCTGGCTGTCAAGCTAGTTCTCAGTGGGACAGAAGCGGTTCCCTAGTGGGGCAGCGGAAACGAGGCTGTGTAAAGTGCTTTCCTCCCTTGGGCCCTAGGAGGAACCAGACTCCGGTGTGGGATTGAGGTTTGTTTGCAGTAATGGGATTCCAGAGCATAGTGATAAGCCTGGGCCTGGCTAGCAAGACAGGATTTCCCTGCCTAGTTTGAGAATCCTGCGTCAGCGCCCCTGGGGCTTCAGCTTGGGCTAGGGCTCTGAGCAGCTCTTAGCCATCCGAGCTTCGTGAATGTTGACCGGTAAAACCATAGGCGCCTAGGGGGGTTAGGTGGCAGCTGAGCAGGTGGAAGTAGAGGCCTAAATACCTTTGTGGAGCTGGGCCCGAGCAGCCTAAGTGTACGTTTACACTGCAGTCGGAGGTGTGAGTGCAGCCCATGCAGGTAGACCTGAGCTGGTGTGAATACCAGTAGCAGTGAAGTCACGGCAGCATGGGCTCCAGCACGGTTTATAGAAACCTGCCTGGACCCTGGGTACTTGAGTGGCTAGCCTGCACTCACGTCCATGGCTTCACTGTTACTGGTAATGGCTATCTAGACAAAAGCTAGTGTGGATGTGTCTACATGAGCTGTAGTCACCCCTCCGACTGCCACGTAGACCTACCCTCAATCTCATTGAACGTCAGTGGGACTTAGGCACTCTGGAGCCTAAACTTGTCTGTCAAAATCACTTGGGCCTTGCAACAGCTTTTAAAAACTCAGGCCTTGGACTATATTCTGCAGACAGGCCCCTCTATGCTGCTCTTCCTTTGCATGTATTTACAGATGTGAGGCCACAGTCTCCGCGAGGCAAGGAGGTGACATGGCTCCTGTTCTGAGAGGTGGGGAAGCTGAGGCAAGCCCACAGGGACAATGACCCAAATCCACATTTGTAAAACCTTCCACTCGATCCATCAACAGTCACTTCCAATTCCTGGAGTTGTGCAGCCCTTCCGGGTGTCTGTTTATCCAGCCACAGAAACACTGTGTGGGCTGCAGCATGGTGCACATAATCCAATGAGCCCATTGTTTGGGGTTTGCCGTTTCCATAGTTTCCACACATTTCTACTTCTACTCCCTCTGTTAATCTGTTAATTCAGCAGCTGGGCCCTAGGGAGGGATGTCACATGACTGGACGCTGTTCCATCAGACAGTGCAAAAATCCTGTATAATGGAGTTAAAAGCTGTCTGTGCCACTGCAGGTTGTCTTGGGTCCGTTCCATCCCCTGGTCACTTCAGTGCATCCTAGGGACAGGCGTAATGAGAGACAAGGTAACACAGTTAATCCCAGAGCCCAGCTGAGGCCCCCTGTCGGGGGCTGCCACTGAGACATCATAGGAACATGCTAAGATGTTGGAGGTCAGAATTAAATCAGCTCTTGTCACCTCTGCTCTATGTATCATACTAGTGACTTGATTTTGGTGCTTGGCAAATTTTGATCATGGGAGACAGGACAGACTGAAAAGACCCAGTTAGTTACTGCAGGATCGTTTCATTAGCTTAACAAGTGGCACAATTAATCTTTACAAGCGTCATGCAATCAAGTCCTGGTTATGTCTGTACAGGCCAAAAAGCAATGAAGGCTAGAAAGATGAAGATAGGCACCTAATGAGATTTTTTCAGAGTCTAACTCCCATTGAAATCAATGGGTGTCCAGTGCCAATGGGATTTTCAGAGGTGCCCAAGGGTGCAAGTGCCTAAATACCTTTGAAGTCTGGCCCTTAGTGCTGGGCCTGCCAGATGCAACAGAGGGTGTGTCTACACTACACTCAGAGGTGAGACTGCTGCACGTGTCGGCCTACCAGAGTTAACCTTGATACTGCTTGGGCCAGTCCCCGGATACAGATCCGAGGTGCTGGGTGGGGCTGGACAGCTCATGCTGCTGCTGTTTAAACTCGCTGGATCAAAGCTAGCTTGGGTGTATCTACGTGTGGCGCAGTCACACCTCTGACTGCAGCACAGACAGACCCTTAGGCCTGTGACCTGCAGGCATTTATGTAGTGACTGTGTATTTACAAAGCACCGGCATACCAACTGGATCAGACGGTGCAGCTGTCCTGTCGCCAACAGTGGGCTTCACCTGCAGGCACTAATCCACTCCTTCTTGGCATGTACAGTGTAAGGTAGGGGGATGGATGTGGTTGGGTGGGGGATGAAGAGGCCTTGCATGCAGCCTGATCTTCGTTTCCCTAAGCCCTACCCTCCTCTCAGGCACAGAGGGAGTGGCATGCTTAGGATGGGTTTAACTAGTCGCTCAGTGGGATTGGAGTCTGACTGGGACTGCTGAAGTCATCTTGACCCACTTTCTAGTGTTCGTTTGCAGCCACAATAACTCCTGATTTTCAGGACTAAGTTGATCTTGGAAACAGGAGAGGCCAGGGGATGTGTGAAACTGTCACCATATGCATGGGAATATTGGAAGCCCTTAGCTAGGACTATCCCATGTGTTACCCCAAAGAGGTGGGATTATCCCCTAGTAATGTAGGCCAAGAATATAGGCCTAGAAATTGTGGATACCCACCTAGACACCTGAAAAATGGGTGTGATTTTTTTTCAGAGGGTGGGTGCTCAGCACTTGCTGACAATCAGGCCCTGCAAAGGTACCCAAAATCACTACACATTTTCAAAACAGTTTCAGCTTTGGTCTACACAGGTGATCAGTTATGGGGTTTTGCTGGTTGGGAGCGGTAGAGCTGCTGTAGCCTTGTCTGGGGTTACCTTGCAATTGAAGCTTTCAGAGTTGTGACTGCTCATTTAGTTCATGGAGTGATTTGGTTTTTGTTCTTGGTGTGTAGATACAAGAGTCTGGTGACCGGGAAACGGGCAAGATGGCTCATCGCTGTGCTCTGGCTCCTGTCCTTTGGGATTGGACTGACCCCACTGATGGGCTGGAACAGAGCCACTGCGGGGCTGGAACAGATTGGCTGCCCGAATTCTACTAATAGCTCGCAGACCCAGCAGGGCTGCTTAATCAGATGTCTCTTTGAGAATGTGGTCACCATGAGCTACATGGTCTATTTCAACTTCTTTGGCTGTGTGCTCCTCCCACTCTTCATCATGTTGGGCATCTATGTCAAGATATTCATGGTGGCCTGCAAGCAGCTGCGGAAGATGGAGTTGATGGGTAAGTCCAGGACTACCCTCCAGAAGGAGGTCAATGCGGCCAAGTCTCTGGCCATCATCGTTGGGCTCTTTGCCTTCTGCTGGCTGCCCCTACACATCCTGAACTGCTTCACCTACTTCCACCAGGACTTTGGGGACAAGAGGCCTGATTGGGTGATGTACATGGCTATCATCCTGTCCCACGCCAACTCGGTCATCAACCCCATTATCTACGCCTACAAGATCAGGGACTTCCGCTGCACCTTCCGCAAGATCCTTGCCAAGTACATCCTCTGCAAAACGGAGGACGTCCCCAAGGGCTCCAATGGCAACAGCCGGCACCTGACTGTCAGCAACCTCAGTTCTGCTCCTGTATTTATCTGACCATGCCAGTCATCCTGTAGCCTGGCCCTGACCAACCCAACCCTCCCCACCCCTTGTGCCTATGTGGACAGTAGACCAGGATTCTGATGAGTCACACTATATATTTGTACAGCTGTATTTTTTTTTAATATATATTTTTTTAACCTAGCGCCTCATAGGGGAATAACATTTCTGGGGAGACAGTGCCCTGCTTACCCTGTCTCCTGACCTTCGAGTTATGGAGTGCTGGTCATTGTATTGCATTTCCTTCTAGGTCAAAGGTTGAATGTTGGAAGCCGCATGTCCTGGGATGGGTTTCCCCAGCTGGGCTGCTCATGTCAACTCCCGGCCTTTTGGATTTTATTTATTTATTTTTTTTGGCTCACTCAGAAGGATTTTTTGTTGGTGGTTCATTTTCTACATACTTGATGCCACTTTGGTAAATACCCTATTTTTTCCATCAATTATTTGATGCAGCTAGTATTCTCCCATGGGAAATAATCTTATGTAGCCCAGATGCTGGTGTAAAACTGAAGCCCTGACCCAGAGTCAGAAGGGATCTGCTGGTGTTAATGGGAAAACAAGGCAGTTAAATGGTGATCCAGCCTCATTCCTCAAACACTGCCCTGCTCGAAGTCTGATAGTTGAGAGGAGATAGAGCAGCCTCACAATCCTGAGCTCCCCCCATTCCATAGGACTGACTACCCCCCCATGCTCCATGGAGTTTAGTATCCCAGCTCTAGCAGTGAACACCTGCTACTTGACCAAAAAGCCAAACCCTGCTGCTATTCACACTGAGGCTGAATCTGTGGCCACTGAAGTCAATGAAAAGACTCCACTGATTCATGGGCTTTGGGTCAAGTCCATAGAGCTGGTCCTGTTACCCCTGCAGTCAAGGGCAAAGCTCACGCCGCCTTCAGGCGTGCAGGATCCAACTGGATGCTGCTCTGTGCGCTCAAGTGCTGCAGCTCCTGTTGGCCCTACGTCTAACTGCTGTTCTGATGACCGTCAGCCCCCAGGGCCATGCTGCATTCCCGGTGCACTGTGGGGTGAGTTCAGGATGTTGAGAAGCCTTTCTCCGAGCTTTGGGAGGTTTATGTCTGTTTAGCTGAAGGTCGCGAGTGGGATTGAATTTGCCTGTTAAGTTAGAATGCTCTTGTGCAAACAACGGCCCCATAGAACAACACAGCCCTTTGGAACAGGCACTGACATGAGCACAAGGTTTGTTTCTCGGGTGGTTAGACTGGGTCAAAAATTGCTACACCCACAGCGCTGGCTCAGGGGCTAATTTGCACCATCTTGGCCACTGACTGTTCTATAATTCCACTGAAGGGCAGAGAAGCCTTAATGTGCACTGAGGCTTAATAACTCTCTGTAAGCCTAGCTTTTGGGGTTTTTAAATGACTAAGCCTATTTAATATGTGAACTGTGGTACATACAATGACACACAGGTGGGGAGAACTATGGGGCGTTTGCTCCAAAGGGGTTGAATGTGTTGAAGCTGTCATTGAAGGTGCAAGGAGCAGTAGTGTATAACTGGTATGCCCTTCGGGGGGGCCTTTTGTTCTAAGGGGGCTCAAAAATTCCAGTAAAACTAGTCCCCCTCTCTCCCCAAAATCTGACTTTAACAGGCAGAGCCTCAAGCCTACAGCTGTGAGAGTGTATGACACGGACAGGGAGAGCACAAATGGCAAAAGGGCCGGATTTCCTACCAGACTCCAGATGGTCCATTAAAAATTATACCCAGTAACAGTGCTAATGGAAAGAAGGAACTGGCTTGTTACAAGGCAAACCACTGGCTAGGTCTGGAAACTACAGGCTTACGCAAGGGCTGGGTATCCACCTTGGTGCTGCAACCCTCTTCTAAACTGGAGCCTTAGGAGAAGGTTCTTAAAGTGCCAGTGAAGTGGCAAATTTAATCTCTGAACCACTTGGTACCTTGACATGTGACCACCAGAGAGCTGTAGTTCATGCCTGTGTATTTAATATGGTCTCCGCTGGGCAGCTCTCATATGCACAGCCCATGCTCAGAGACAGGGATGGGGATGTAGGTTCTCAGAGCTGCCCCTCTGTGCCCGGGGGGAGTCTGTTGGGAAGGAAGTGCTATCAACGTGAGCGGCAGAAATGGAAGCCAAAGCCCTCTCCTGCCATTCTTCACAATGCGGTTGCTGTGAAGAGGGCAGGTATGGGAAGGCTAGAGCTGTCTGTCATTGGTACTTGAATAACACTGTAGCCAGCTTTGTTTCTTTGAGTTTATTTTGTACTGCACTGCAGGGAATAAGAAAAAATTCCCTCCTATTTCTTACACTAAGTCTCTGACCTGACAGGGTTCAATGTGGGAGGTTGCTATAGGTCAGCGGTGTGAGACTGGGGGTTCCTGGGACTAGTGGACTCTAACCATCCGTTGTGCTAGGAGAAGGTTTAGCTGCCCTTCAGCTACAAAGGGCCAGATCCCAACCTGAGTGAATCCCAACTGTGATTTTGATGGTATTGCACCTGCTGACATCAACTAATATCCAGTCCCAACTTTAGCTCCAGTCAGCCTGTATCACAAGGGTTAAAATTACAGCCGGGTCTTTATCCTTCCCTTTGCAGATCATCTCTGCTGCAACTTCCTTGCTCCCTGTCTGTCCAACAGATGTGACCACATCCTGCCTTCTCAGGACTCATCATCTCATTTCAACCTCTCTATTGTCTTTGGCCTTATTGCTCCTATTAATCATGGAAGGGAACAGCCAGAGTCTCACCTGTGGGTCGGGGAGGGTTGCAACCCAAATATGTGATTGCAACACAAACCATGAGTGCTGGCCTCCCTCTCCTTAAAACAAATCGCAATCTGGAGTGCATGAAAGAGAGAGCATAATGCAAAGTACTAAAGCAGGGTACCAGCAGTTAGTTAATAACTGATCAAGGAATATCTGTAGGTGACAGTTTACACTGCAGGCCAGGATCCACTACAAGCCAGACTCACTCAGAGGGACCTTTGCCATGTGCTGATGTCACCATTTCCCTAGCTGGGATGTGTCACTGGGGGGTTCTTTTAATTAAATAAGTTGTTTGAAAGAAAAAAAAAACACAGCACTGAAGATTTCTAAAAACGTGAATCCAAGTAAAATGGCAGAGGAACCCTGCACTGGCCGTGTCTGTAGCTGTTCACATGTCCCTTAACCCATGTGTTCCTGATGTATACAGGATGGATGGTATTCGCCACATGTTACTTGGGCTGTGTAGTTACAGTAACTTTGTTATTGGGATACAGAATGAATACTTACATTTACCACTGAAAACAACCTAACTCTGTGCCGTGTCATTTCTTTGGGCACGCCCTTGCACGAGTGAGACATAGCCAGGTGCCCCACCCTACCGAGCTCCGGCCAACAGACACAAAGCTCAGTGTGGAGTTGGGCTCTGGGTCATTTGGCTGTGGGATGGGACAGAGCAGTGGCTCTATCCCTACTGCGTCACTAAGGCCTATAACTTGAAGAAACATTGTTTAATTCTGACCAAAATTGGCAGAAAGCTTCCAAATACTGTTGATAATGTGACTCTGTACTCAAAATAGGGCTGGTTGGGAACTACTTAGCCCCTGGGGAGATACTTTATGTATTTCCCAGTACTCTGCTGCCGTCACTTAAGGCAAAGTCTGTAGTCACATGACAGGATGAGCTTGTTTGCACCATGTAATACATCAAAACAGTAATTTTCAGAATGGACTTTTAGATGCCTAGAAAATCATCAGCACAATGCTGGGATCCCCAAAGCCTGAGTTAGATGCTTAGGCTTGCTCTGCACAGGTGGGAAAGAGCTGGGCAGCTAAGACTGGGACTTCAGAAGCCAGCCCCCCAGTCAGGCAGCTGCCTGAGCCAGCCATGCGGTGGGGGTGCTGAACCCTGCCATTTATAGAGCTTGGTGCCTCTCTCACTGAGGGATCCACAGCAGGAACCCTGCTCCTGGACTTGATCAGGTGAGTTTGGTGCTAAATGGGGGAGCTCCCTGGCTTTCTTCGGAGGTCTCTGCCAACAGTGTATCGTATATGCTTGTTTGGCTTAATGTCACCAGCTGAGCAGCTACCATCAAAAATATGTTTTATAATTAAGGGGTAGGAGTCTTATCATCTACATAACTTCATAAAAATAGCAGACAAAAGCATTTCTCAAATGAGTCCATTCTACAAATACTGTGAGGTATTACATGGTACAAACAAGCTCATACTGTCACGTGACTATAGACTTCTGCTTTAACTGAAGACAAAAAAGTATGGGAAAATGGATAAAATATACACGGGGGGGGGGAAGGGGGCTAAATATTTTCCCACTTTCCATACAGGACTATTTGGAGTACACAGTTGCATTATCAATTGTATTTAGAAGCTTTCTGCCAATTTTGGTAAAATTAGACTGGTTCTGCGAGTTTCTGATTTTATGCCCCAAACATTTAAACATGTGATACAATAAACCTCCCACGAGGGCTGCATCTACATCCCCCTGGGAACGACCACCAGGTCTGTGCCTAACTTGAGAGCAGTGACATTTTTCTACCTGCTGGTTTACCCTTAAGAGCCCGGATGGATCTGGGCTGGTACACGTGTAAAAGGCCAGCCCCAAAAGATGTGTTGAGGCAAAGAAGCTACTGTAAGAGATCAACCCTGCACTAGGGAAGTAAGAGGAAGGGCCAAGAAACCACCATAAAAGCTGCCACTTCTGTGTTCATAGCCCTTCTCCCCAAAATCCTCGAGGCCCGCAGGAACCACAGCAGCAGGTGACATGAAGGGCACGGAAGTCACAAAATCTCAGCCTCATGTTATGAGGCTCCGTAACATTTATTACAACACAACAGTGCATGGCTGCTAAATAATTTCCAGCCTAAATTCAGCTTGGGAGGAAAACTAACTGCCTTGATCAACGCTTGCTTGCCTTAGGGATGTTAGTAATGCTTGTCGATGTACCTCAGAGGAGCCAGGGAGGCGTTGCAGGAGAGAGGGTGTAAGCACATGGTCCAAAGTCCTTCTTCCTTCCTCCTCTTCCTCAGCCAGTAAGATGCTTGCCAGCTGCTGGTCAGAGACAGATAGCTCTTGGCATGTGCCGGTGGCCTGGCTGAGGTACATGGCAAGGATGTGCTTACACTGCAAGACACGGATGTGAGCAAATTTGCAATAAAGGTGACGCATGAATGGCAGGCTGGCTGCAAGGCTGGGGCCCAACCCCAACATGTTCCAAGCCCAGCAAAGAGAACACGTGCACAAGCTAGAGAGCGTGTAAAGAATTCTACCCCAGGCAGTAGCCAGGCCCAAGTCAACTGTGTAATCAAGGCAATGTTCACCCCAAGGTTTTGGTACAGCCAGCCTGGGGCTCCTACCTGCATCAGGTCTGCTGGGTGTCTTGTGTGCAGTGTGCCCCTGCTGCTCACACAGCTGGCTGAAGGGCCCAACTCACACTGTGTCCCAGGAAAGACCCAGGCTCACTAATGCCTGGCCCAACTGCCCCACACCTGCCATAGCCAGGATCATTCCTGGTCTTTCCGTCCTTGCTTAGCTCCTGCAGGCCCTTGCCCAAGTCTTTTCAACTCAAAGCCACACGGTTCCCATATAAACACACCATGGGCCTGGCCCCTCTATTTGGAGGGCAGGAGATGGAGACAACAGGCCTCCTGCTGACTCTATCAGCTCACCGATGTGAGATGCCTTCTGCTCTAGGATATTACCCAGAGGACTGAAGGGTCTTCCCTCTGGAGAAGTGAATTATGAAGCACTGCTGTGCCCTGCACCCTAATCCCCACATCAGCCCCCACACAGACTGTTCCCCTCTCCTGTAGGCAAGTTCAGTGCAGAGGAGGCTCCCCTTTGGGATCCATTAAAGACTCGGTTATAACAAAGGCAGCCTGAGAATGAGTCCTGAGGCCACTGATCTTTACTGTCATAAATAGTAACACTTCACTGCAAACCAACACTACCCCTTGAGCCCGGCTGCTTACACACGACTCCCCACCGTCAGATCAGGGCATGGTGGCCACAGATTGCCCCAGCATTTCAACACTTGCATGTTTCTTCCCTTGCGCAACCCAGGTATATGAAATCCAGCTCAGGGAAGTGTGTCGGTGCACAGCCCCCCAGCGCTTCCCCACTCCCCCTCACTCAAGGCAGGCAGCTTACCACCAGGCTGTCGCTCTTCCGCAGCACGGAGAAAGCAAATGCAGGGCACGTGCAGAAGTGGCAGGAAGCATAACAGGTGTACAGTTTGCCTGAACTCCCGAGGACCTGGAATAGACAGAGTCACAGAGTGGGCCTCAGAAACGGGGGGCTCTGCCTGCCATTTTGCTCCTGACTCCCTGGCAATCGCCACTCCTACCTTATTCCCCCAGCTGCCAGGCAAACTGCATGGGGATGGGGAGCTTGGAGCGGCACATCCTGAAAGGGGCCACCTGAAATCCGGCACCTCGTGCCTGAGCTTTCCGTCTGGAACCTCGCCTCTCGCAACTGCAGGAGACAGGCTCCCCCGGCCACGTCCTGGCCTGTGCTACGCAGGGGCCGCTGGTTCAGCTCCTTCAGTGCTACCACAGGGTGCCCCTGAGGCAGACACAGCTCCCGCATTAGGGTGACGTGCACACGTCGTCTCTCCCGCTGGGGGAGCTGAACCCAGACCGGGACTGTTTTAAGGGAAGAGAGGCCAGTGTCAAGCCCGCCTGCCTAATGGATAACAGCACGGTGAGGCATTTGATAGTTCCGGGGGCAAAGGAGCCAGGAGAAGTGAGCCAACCTGGCCCCGATGGTCTTGAAAACTCTGTCCGACAAAGGCCAGAGACAAGGGGCTGGCTGTGCTCCATCCCCACTGCCCCAACTAACTTCCAAGCATGCCCCAAAGCAAAGATTTGTCATAATACCCTGCCTATTTATCCACAAACGCCCCCTGACTTACAACCTGTGCACTGGGGACGAGGGCTGCAAACTGGGCAGGAATGGGCCCACAGCACGCCTCTGCCCCAGCTGAGATTCTACTGCCCAGAGATGCGACTGTTTAAGAGAACTCTGCTGCTGCTGAGCACATGGTCCCTCACACACCAAACCGGAGCGAGGCTCCAATCTCTCAGTGGATGGAGGGGAGTGTAAAACTCCTCACAGTCACCCCAGGTCTTCAGACCATCCCGCAAGTTCCCAGCGGCTAGAAGGGGCGGACAAACCTCTTGCATCTTATGCCGGACAAAGGGAGTTTGTGAGCCCCGGGCCCCAAAGGACAGGGTGGGAAATAAACCAGAAGGCAGCCCTTGCTGGGGACTCTTCTCCTAGCCAGCTGCAATGGCTGGAAGCCATAAGGGGGTCTGGCTGTTTGGCTGCCACAAGCAGCTGCAGTTGTTGGATTTCAGTTTTCTTGAATAAACAAAGTTCAGGTCTCTAGAGAAGGGGCCTCACTGTTCCATCTCTGTGCTGGGACCATTTCAGGGGAAAGTCTCTGCATCCCTTTCCCAGGTGCCGCTCCTTCACTGGGGTGGGGAGACACCACTAGTGGGGATTATGCCCCACTCGGCAGAGGAGGGGCATGTTTTCCGTTCAGGGAAGCAGACAGGCAAGATGCGCTCTTGGCCACTGCTGGGACTGATGTGAATGGCCTGAAAAAGCCATCCCAGAACCTCCTACTTGTAACTTCTGGCAGGCAGGAAAACGGCTTGTAGGAGTTAATCCCATCCGGTGCTCTCCCCTGAGCCTCCTGCTCCTCTCCTCAGGTGCTGCACAGGGCGGGGAGAGAAATCTGGCTACAACAGCAGTGCCCTGGTTTCCGAGATCTGACTCCAGTCCAGCCTGCGTGTGCAGCTCACAGGATGCCCAAGCGGCATCTGTCAGCCCTGCAGACACGGGCAGGGGACTTGGCCTGGCCTTAATGCCAGGGAAGTTCAATAGTTGGCCCCCTCTGGTAACCTGTCTCTGGCCAAGCTTTCCCTGGGGAATCCCCTCCCTTAGATTTACCCAGAGCCAACTGCACAAGGTTATTTAGAGGGCCTGGGTGGGTGCGAATCTCTTACCAACCTCAGGGGTGGGCAGACAAGACTATTATTGTAGTCCATGCTTCATAGAAATCAAAACCAATCACACCTGCCTCTATCCCGATCTCCTTTAAACCCCACAGTTATTGGACTCGGGCCTGATCCCCAGCACAACTCCACTGATGTTGAAGGCCTTGTCTACCCGTACGAGGGTTAGAGTGATCCGTGCTGCAGGGTGAATGTGAAAGGCTAGAGTTATGTCGGTGTAATCCCCATGGGAATGCTCCTCTTCCAGCACGGGCCTTTTCCAGCACTGGCTTATGTTGCTTCGGAGGGGTTTAAGCTAAACCAAAAAAGCCCCACTCTTGTCCTGGACTAAGTGTGTCCACATGGGGTTTATATCAGTGCAACTTGGAAAGCTCTGCTGCGTAGACGAGCCCGAAGGAAGGGGCCCTGACTGGATCCAACGACTCCACAAACACTCTTTGCTCTAGTCCCACAGAGCAGCAGGCTTTGGCACCCCCTGGCTTAACAGTGAGCAAGCAGCAGAGACCGTCCGAATTCCGTGCACCGACACCCATCTTCAGGAAACCGCGCTCCTTCTAGCCTCCTCCTAGTGCCCACGCTATCCTCCCTCCAGATCCAGTCCTGAAAGCAGCTCTCCTAGGAACGTCTCTGCATCACAGCTCCACTTTCCCCGCACATGCTGACCGACTGACTGGGCCAGCGGCTGGCTCAATAGTTTACTTAGGAGCACTCATCTCATCTCCCCCCGTCCCCAATCTGGTTTTTGGATTGCTTCCCAGCTGGACTGGGCCTGGCGTCTGGAAGGGAGCAGAAATGGTAACTGGGGTGTGTTTACACTATGAAGAAGACTGGGCTTTGATCAGAGACTGGTTATTCACCTTGCCTGCCCTGGGCTCCCCTTCACTCCACACTCTGTGTTTGTTTCACTTGCAGTAGGTTTGTTATTCTCTGTCCCGTTTGATTGTTTGCTTGCAAGATTAAGTATTTTGATGGCAACTTTCCCTCAGCCAAATTCAGAGGCTGCCAGCGTTGCTCTGGTTGAACATTTCCCCCGTGGTGCTGGCTGTCCCTCCCAGAAAGAACAGGCCTTTCACGTCTCTCTGATTCAGGTGGAATCTCAAATCCACGGGCCACGCAGCACTGAAATGCAGCGGACAGAATTAGAGGGTGCCCTGCTCCCCTCTGCCTGAGACGCTGTGCTGTCTCCTCCCATCGTCCTCTCCGGTCTTGGGGAAACAAGGGCTGCTTTGCAAACTCCCAGGGGGCTTGTCCATCCCCTCCTTGAAGAACTCGGGAGGATCAAAACCAACCAAAACGCAGCTTCCGGAAGGAAACCACTCTGGTGTTCCTGTGACGTACATCGAGCCAATGGCGTGAATAAGGCTGGGAGCTGGATCCTGACCTCAGAGACAGGAGCACATACCGCGCTTGCATGGTCGGTGAGCGCGAAGAGGTGGAAATCCCCAGACATGCAGCCAGGCTCTGCTGTGGGTCCCACGGTGGACAAGGCTCCTGAGCACAAAGAACCAAGGCAGATGGGTGCTAGTTTTTAAACGTCCAAACCTTCCTCTCTTACTGTGTCTGTCTGTGGCATGGATAAGACGAGATCCAGGGGAAACCAGCACAGGAGGCAGGGATAGTGCGGCGCTGGGAAACTGACTGCACAGACATTTGGGGAAAAGTCAGGTGAGTAGTTGTTCCATTCCAGCAAGTGCCGGGTTCCTCTATCATCTGGCAGCTCTCCCTGCAACCAGCGTCTGATTAACCATATGGCTAAGCCCAGGAGCTGAGCAGACATTTCCACATGAGCATTTTAATCTGTTTACAGACAGCGTGGCAGGCTGCCATAGAGTTCTAGGAAATTAAAATGAAAATATATTTAAACAAATAATCTAATAAAGATACAGGATGTGAACGATCAACACTAAACAAACAGATCAGGCCAACAGCTGAAGGCAGAAAGGGGAAGTTAGGCAGGAGGGATGGAACAGGCCCAGTCTGAGCTTGACCTGTTGCCATGTCACCCCATTCCCGCTGGCTGGCTTCACTTCCATGGCCTGCTGAGTACCCGTCGCTGGTCATGCTGGGTGTGGCTAACCAGTGCCCAGACTGTGCAACATCAAGGGCCGTGTTGGCAATTGCCAGGATCACAAAGGTTGCATCTATATTTGCATATATTTTAAAACCCCCAAATAAAGGCTTGCAGCTCTGGCGCTGGCTGGTGCTTGTGTCTCCGCTGACCAATTATGGGAAACTGCTTGTTTAGGCCACCAGCGGGTTTGAGGCATCCCCACTCCGGAGCTCCAGGGAGCTGGGTTTAGCCCACAGGCTGCAGTTCAGATGAGCACTAGGAGAGCCCTTCAGATGATGGCTAGAGTTGTAACATCAGGCCTGGAGCTGCTAGCCGCTGCGATCCCTGCACTGCTGTACTGAGCAGGAGGGGCAAAGAGCTGCTTTCATTTGAATGGGGATATTAAGCTGAGGCCAGTTTCTGCCCCATCTCGGCAGCTGGAAGGGGAAGTGACCTACGCTGCAGGGAGCAGTATCAGGTGTGTGTCTGGGAGGAGGCTGTTTCTCAAGCAGTACCCAGGATGACGGACCATAGGCAGCACTGGGGGGTAGTATAGTCCATTAGCACTGACATCCCTTCCCATGTCCGAGCCCTGGGCTGCAGGGGCACCATTCCTGAGGGCAAGTCCAAGACTTGTTTGTCTGATAGGTGGATCTATGCATTATCTAGCCCCGCTGAGGACTTTCCCCTTGCTCCTAGCAGATCCTCTCCTCTGCTGGGAGTAAACGCTCACATCACGGGTGTGCCGCATGGAAGTCTGGCCCTCTGACACGGCTCTCCTCAGTTGGTTACATCAGCACTGAGCTGTCAATGGATCCAGCCCAAGAGAGGGTAATGAGCTGTGAGAGAATGAGCTACTCCGCAGGCAGCATGCCACCTCAGTGCCATGGCTTTGACAAAGCCCCTGATCGCATTCCCGTCTCGGTTCCAGTCACAGTCCCTGGGGGGCTCTGCGCCTTGCCTCAGCACCTCAGAAATGGCAGCTACAGCTGCAAGGAGGAGGAGTGTTGCAATGGGGCTTCAAGCCCTCAAAAAGAACAGCTCTCCACAGCAAAGACATTACAGCAGCAACAATCCCATGCCTCAGAAAAGGAAACCAGCTGAGAAATGCACGCCCGGCCTCCAGGCTATTTATCAGTTGGGAAGATGTCCTCACTCCTCTTTGCCAAACCACTCCCATCCTCCTCTCTGATGCCGCTGGAAAGACCAGACTGCTGCTGGGAGCCCTGTGGTGCAGGGGCGAGGCTTTTTACTTACTAGCGCCTGTGGGTTGGCCACTTGGCTTGTGTGTCTAACCCTCGGATCGCTGGCCAAGACTTGCTGCTCCTTTCCCCTACAGGAACCAGCCTCCGATTCTGCCTCCTGAAGTGGGGAGGAGAGCAGCTCTGAAGTCTCTTCTTGTAAGTGGAAATTAATCCATTAATTGGGCTACGTTAGCAAATGATAATCCATAAAGGAAAATTGTAACTATTGTTTGTTCCCACTGGTGATTGTCAAAGGCAATCACATAGCAAAGAGCCTGGTCCATCTTGCCCTGAAGTCAGTGGGGTTTTACTCCACTCAATGGGAGTAGGATCTGGCCCTCAGAGGGGCAAACACATGAGAGAGCATGTGCACTAGCTAGGTAGGCGGCTGGGGTGTTTGCCTGGCCAAAGCACCCAGAAGGGTGAAGCTGCCCCTTTGTAGGACCTGGTAATTGACGATCAAGGCTGGGAGCTCTTTGGGGCAGGGACTCTCACTCTCATTGTGCACTGCCCGGCACAGTGGGGCCCTGCTCTCTGCTGGGCCTTCAGCACTGGCCATAGCACAAAGAAACGCCCCAAGTCACCAAGCCAGTGAGCAGAGCTGCTCGGGTGGAGGGAGAAGGATCACCTCCAATGCAGCTGTTCCTCACAGTGGCAGCGCTGGTGGCCAAGGCGGGGGAAGAGCTCTCCATCGCTGCCAGAAGACGGGAGGGCAGCAGTCAGACAGCTGGCCACGCCACACACAAGGCATTAACACCACATACAGAGCACGCATGCTCACTGCGCTGTCCAGCTACCTCTAAGAAGAAACCGGGACCAAGCCCAGCTTGTCTCCGTCACTTTCCTTCAAGGGCTTCCTGAGAAGGAATGTAAACCCAGGGGCTCGGAGAGGTACAGCACGCGAAGTGTCCAGCCCTGCTGGCCGCGAGGAGCTGCTGCAAGATGAGCTGAGGATGCACTGAGCCTGCATGGACAACGAGAAGCACTAAGGCCTCCCCACGGCACTGTCTCTGCTTAATGGGGGTTCACTTCAAAGGCTGACTGCAGCCACGTAAAGGAGAGGAGTCCAAACTTGGGCCCAGCGAAGGGCCCAAAGGTTGCACGGAGCTGGGATAAAATGGTGCACATTGCTGCTCCCCTCAGCCTTAATATGTAGGTACATCTGGTTAAGACTTCACATCCCAGCCTGCAATGCTCCATCTTAGCCCTAAAAACACACTGCACAGAGCTTGGGCGCTCCCAGGCTGGGCTTTTCAGGCTGGGTATTTAACAAGAGCAGCAACAAGGAAAGAAAAGCCTCAAGGCCTCCAATTAATAAAGGAGACGTCTTCCCAAAGAATCACTGGAGCCCAGAGACAGCAGTGGCCTCAGAGCACTGGAAGCAGCAATTAGTCCTTGTGAAACACCAACAAGCAACCGCAACCCCTCAACTCAGCCCAGAGGCCGTGTTCCTAGGCCCATGGGTTTTTGAATCAGGTCTTACAGGTGGGTCCCACTCACTCTCCAGAGTCCCCAAGAGCAGTGAAAGCTCCTCACGTGACTCAGACAACACAGCCCCATAACATGCGACAACGATCACACCCTTATCCAGGGCAGAGGGGCGACTGGGACCACACCCTCCTCTTCTCCCCAGTTAAACAGAAGGGTCTGTGGCAACGGCACATCCCAGCCCAGCCCTGGCCGGAGGGAGAACGGGACCGTTTGCAGCTGTAGGAAGGACAGCTGGGGATGCCGCTCAGGGCTGTTCCAACACCCAGGGCACAGTTTGTCGTTCTTCAGAGGTGCATTGAGCCTGGTGCAAGGTTCAACTGGCAGTGACGGGAAGGCAGCCCTCTGTTTATCCCACAACAGACACAGTGTGGGGCGCCTCCACACATCAGCCCCTTCTGCTAATAGGTCTCAATCCTGGCCCTGGAGGACTCCACTCTGTGGGACAAGGGCACTTGGATCGCTGTGGCCCATTCAGACCTTCGCTTCTCTACCAAAGATGCCAATTTTAGGGTGGTTTTTGTGATACAGAGACTTGACCATTGTGAGCTGGACTCCGCCCCTTGATTCAATTCACACCAGTTCCCTAAATAGCTTCCAGATGCAGCAGAATCACTAGTCCATCGCCCCCAGCTGGGCAGAGAGTTACCCCCCTGTTGGTAGTACACCCTGCTAGACCCAAGAGTTCAGGACACTCGGGAGACACATTGTGATGGGTAAAAATGGGAGCAAGGCTTATTCTGCAGAGACGGGGCCCTGTCTGAGAGTTCCTGCTTTTCCCCAAGGGACAAAAGTGATACAGAACTTTGAGGGATATGATTAAAATTTCTAAACTGAAATCATTGATCCCCAGAAAACATCCTCCTAAGATTGGTATCCACAGGAGCACAGGGAGCTACTAGCTCAGATCAGGCGAATGGCCTTGTCTCTGGGAGTAGCTGGATGCTTCTCGGGGAGGTGTAATGCAACCAGTGGCCCCATTCTGTGCTGCGGTGGTTACATTAACACTTGGCACAATGGCGCTTCTGTCCTGTTTAAGATGCGGTAGGTTTCCATGTCACATCCCTCTCCACCTAAGGAGGTTCTGAAACAGTCAGTGCATTTCCTTATTCTATGAGGCACAGGGCCACATGGGCAGACAGCAACCGAAAGGGACTAGATAACTTGAGAGTGACCCAGGAGAAAGCCTGGTCTGTACCTGGTACACAGCCCTTCCACTAGAAGACACGATTCGCGTGACTGAATGTTGATCAACCAAATCCAAGGCTGCCACAGCAGATGAGCCAAATACAAATTTCAGCCTAGAAGAGAAGAAGTCCCTGGGTTAGACTGTGTTGCAAAGGTCTGGACTGCTCCAGCTCCTCTTGAAATCAATCGGAGTCTTGTCACTGGCTCTGATGGGAGCAAGATTTATCTCTTAAAGGCCATTGAGCCAAACAGAGCCCATGGCGCGTGTGGCCAGGGATCCCCAGGGCATCTCTAAAGGTGTTCTGCGAAAATCCCAGCACTGCATTAGTCTGCCGTGCTCAGCGCCCCCATATAAAACCTGATTAGGAGCAGCGAAGCACATTGGTCATTCTCTCTCCTTTCTTCAGGTTCTCCTACGGGACGGCCAATCCCAGCCCCAACTTCAGGAGACAACCTAGACCCTGGAGACAGCTGCTGGCATGTGGGGCTGCCTCTAAAGGGGATCCGTAAGGTTTTCATATTCTCATGTCTAGGGTGGAAGATAAGAACATGAGAGAGAACTGCCCCAGTTTCCATCCCAATCACAAACAATCCCCCAAGATTTTTCAACCCCCCCACCCTGAGTAAGATTTAATTTGAAATAAATTATTTTTAAAGTTTTTTTCTTTAACGCTGACAAATAAAAGGTTCTATCTGGGGAGGCCAAGTCCCTTCTCCAGTGTTGTGACCCACAACCCAGCAGCACTGGCCAAGTGCAAGGGGCCCGGAGAGTGAAATGGTCGCCGTCTCCAACTAAAGTGAAAAAGGAGCATCGATTCCAGGCCTGGTCTTTGAACTCTGTGGACACAAGGCACTATCAGCCACACAGGTAAGGGTCTGGCTTTAACGGGGGATTTTTAACTTGGTAGTGTCCTTTCAAGGACCACTGATTATCACAAGTGGGGCATGAGGGAAGGGGACACAGGCTTCCTTTATCCACAGCGTGTCCACAGGAGGCTCTCAGCATTGCTATCGCCAGGGCAGCCTTTGGCAGTTGCAAGAGTGGAAGCCACAGTGCAGCCAAGGCACTAGCATTTAAACCACTGTGACACCTACCCCTGCTTCGAACGGGTCTAGATAACACCGGGGTAAAAAACACCAGCAACTGCCCTGTCTACATAAGACCTCCCAGCGGGGGAGTTGCATTACTGGCACCTGCAGCGGGACAGGTGGTAAGAAAAACGTAATGTAGGGCCCTGGAAAAGGAGCCAGGCTCCAGTCCCCCAGCAGCCAAAGTTGGCAAGAGGAAGAGCTACATACCCACCAGCTGCACTCCACTCTGACAGACAGCAGAGAGCCACCGTGTTGTCAGAACAGTTATCAGTGAGGATGCAAACAGGAGCAGCATTAGAAAAACCAAGCGTGTGGGCATGGGGAAAAGGAACTGGTGTTTCTGGCACACAGAGCAGCGTAAGTATGCACGGGGTCACTGTCCCAGGTGGGAACATTGGTCCAGTCAGTCTGGAATCCTGCTCCAGTTGTGACCAACACCTGATGCCTCACACTAAGGAGGAAATGAAGTAGTTTGTTGTGCAATAGAGGATGGGGCGAGGCGACGCCTTCCTGACCCCAGGAGAAATTAGCCCATGCCCTGAAGCACGAGATCGAATTAGCTTACAATGGCTGAGTCATAGGCTGAGTCTCATAACTGAGGTGTAAGTCAGTGCTCTGCTTCGCCCCAAAGCAAGCTGGGAAAGTACGAAGCTGAGGGCCAGGGAGAAATACTTCACCCTCTCCCCTGCATATGGCTATGCCCATGCACAGTCTAGCACGTGATTAGTCCCCTATCTAGATGCTTCCTGCTTACATTCCAAGGACTGGAGATGACTAGAGATACTATTCCATTGTGATGGTGCACATTCATCAGCAGGGTGGATGCTCGCGACCCCCACTGGGAGACTAGAGTTTCTGTATTCCTTCTGAGGTGTTTACATTCAGCCCCCCTGCAGAAAGGCTTTTATCTGCATGTGTTAGACATCACGTAGAGGTATATGATTAACTGTGTGCCAGCTATGGATACCTGAGCCATTAACCTATTGTCCAAACCGCTCAGAGGCTTAAAAGTTATTTTGGATCTGTACATCCTGCAGATTTGACTGCGTTCCAAAGAGTTCAGAGGTAATAAAGATAAGCTTTATAGACCTTTTGTCCACAGAGAAACACCCATGCAGTCTGGATCAGTCACAAAGGTAAACAATAAACAAGGAGATGTGTGAAGGAACAGATTGCTAAAAACAAGAACAGAAGGAAGCAGAAAAGCCTCTTATTCTGGGAAGAATGTGCTTGATCCCCGTCAAGACACACAGAATCCGAGACAGATCTGTATGTTCTCAGCAGCACAACTGGCCCAAGGTCAACCCCATTGATTACATGCTGCACAGCCAGACCTACTCTTGGAGGAGAGGCAGAAATTCAAAGCAAACAGAGAGTGATTTCAACAAAGGAAAGGGTGGGAGGGTGGGGAACGATTCCCTGCATGACACATTCCTTAATGATTAGATTTACAGTTGCGGTGGGTTGATTTGAATGAATTTCAATGGCTATTGTAGAGATTTTGGAAATTTTTCCCTAAATATAGTTTTATCAATGTACATCTTTGTACTAGCAGGAAATAAATCAGCAGCCAAGTTGAAATGCAGTGACTGGAGGAGGCGAGATTCAGAACAGATTCAGGAATAGAATCAGAATATTCCTGAGCCAGAGGGCATTGGTGGCAACTAAGCAGGGCAGCGGGGGGAGGGGGGGGAATAGTTAATAATCAACAGTTATTAAGTTATCTATGGGATTCCACTAAGTTATCAATGGGATTCCACTAAATTTACTCAGTTTACAATGAGATTCTTTTCCCTCCTCTTCACTTTTAGATTGAGAAAGAAATCAACAGTTCTGACACCTATCAATTAACATCTAACCCTTCCAAGCCCAGTTATGGTCCATTGAGGACAGGGAGCCATGGAGTAAAAACGAATGATTCTCTCAACCTATAGAAAAGCAGTGAGACTCTTACCAGTGGAGCTGAGCGAATAATTGATTTTTAAGTTTGGGGGTCAAGCCCCCCCAAAATTTGGTTCAGTTCAAGCCAAAACGGATTTTTGTTGTTTTTTCTTGCCGAAACAAAAGTGCCAAAAACTTTATTTTAGGTTGAACAAAATGTTTCATTTAGCCTCAATTTTTTTTTGTTTTTTTTTCATTTTGTGTCATTTTTGAATGTTTTTTACCCCTGTTTAATTAGCTAAATTTCTAAACGAAATGCCCCTTCAAAATGAAAAGTCAAAATGCTTTATTTCGAAATGGCCAAAACAGACTATTTCGACTTTTTTAAATTTTCTCCATAGTTTTTCACCTGAGACTATTCACAAAAGTCAATGCCAACTTGCGAATAGTTTTGATGCCCCCCCCAAAATGCATTTTCACCAAATTTACTATTTGTCAAAAACATTTCACCCCATTCCACCTACCAGTGGTACACTGCAAACTTCATTTTCAAGGCCAAAGAGGCCTGAAAGATTCTGATCAACCCCTGCCTGTCTGAAACCACAATCAAGTCAGAATGCAGCATCACAGTGTGACCGTAAAAGTGTCTTCTCCTGCATATGTTGCTTCTGTACCAGCACTGCCATGGATCAATGAGGGGTGCGGGCTGTGTGCCACTCAGTCCCTTGGCTGTGGGCATTGCTGGGTTATGGCTGACACATTCCCAGGCTCAGCTCACAGGGATGGTATTGAAAGCCAGCCCTGGCCTTCCATTTCCGCAGGCATCTTGGCAGTAATGAGATTCTCAGCATGACCTTCAAGGTGCCAGTTATTTTGTGTGGATACATTTATAGGTTCCTTTCTCTTTCCCTCTTTTACAACCACCTGTCCCTCTGCTCGGACACAGAGGGCAACCCGAAGATGCTGCTGTGCTCACAACGGCATAAAGGCATCAGGAGATGTGAAGTTCTGGAAGGGCGGTTTGGAAATAAAGTTTTGGTTTCACTGGAGTCAAATCTCCTTACACCTGGAGATTTGAATCTGGCCTTAAGACTCTGGAGAGACCTCCCAGGTCCCTGGATGTCCAATCCATCCTTGCTTAGAATGCTTTACAACAGAGCTCAGACTATGGCTGGGAGACATTGGGGAACCCAAGGATCCACGAGGAAACCCCCCATATAAGCTGTTTGCACATCCAATCCCACCACCTGTTACAAATTTAGCTACATTTCATGAGAAACGCCTGCTGGTCAAACAGAAAGACATAAGGCACCAAAGGGAAAAAAGCAAACTATAAAGTACTTGAGAGTGCCCTCTAGGAAGGGATGAGGAGCAGAGCAGAAAGTACTTACGCCAACAGGAGATCATCAGGAACTGCAACAAAAAGACAAAGAAATTTCATTTTGCTAAAGATCGTCTGAAATCAGAGACAAAGAGGCCCTGTGGGCTCCACTTCGTCCATCCTCGTAGGTCATGCAGGGTTGTCCCCTACAGTGATCAGTCCAACCTCCCTAACCACAGAGAGACATAGGAAGCAGTGTAGTGGTTTGTTAGGGGAGAGAATTCATAATACATGACCCCAGTGATGATGGCATCAGAATCATATGTAGACACTGGTAGTGAAGAATAACCCTCCTATCTCTTAAAGCACAATAGGTAGCCCCTGTTTGCTCAGATTAAAAACCCATGGACAATGCATTGCGGGAAACTCTGTGGGGGTGCAAAAACCGATGTTGATTTTTGCTGACTCCTGGGCTCACCAATCGGGGATGCTGGGCTGGAATGGTTTCAGACTAGTCATCCACAGACCCTCATGGGAGGGAGGGGGCAACAGTCAAGTTCCTAGGTTCTAGTTGCTGCACAAGCTGCACCAGACTTGAAAAAAATGACGTGTCTTTTTGTTTCAGCAGAAGCACCCTTTGCTATTTCAGTCCTGGGTCCCTCACACACAGTTCTGCAGGTGCCCCTAAATCTTGAGCTGCAACATTCCCCACTATTCCAGTCCTGGTCCCTCTCCAGCATCAGATCTCAACCCAGATATACCCCTGAGCAGAAGCCAGTCACACTAAGCTTGGCTCTCCGCAGTTAATATAGTCACAAGAGTCTCCCAATGCCTTTGAAACATTTCTTTTTAAACCAACCTAACAACCAATTGCCACTCACAAACAGAACGGTGCACGTTCAATATGACTTCTTATATGTAGGACCTACATTAAGTGCAGACATTTTTAAAAATGATTCAGAGCTGCAGTGATGAATTTTAAAGAATAATATGGAGCCACAAATATATATACTTTTCTAATATCCTACATCTAAAAATTGTAAGAAAGGCCTGAAGGTTTTAACAACTTGCACTTCACATTAACAGGCTGATTCCCTTGCAATTTTACCTGGGAAACAAACTGTCACTTGATAAATTTGTGGCATATAAATTCTAGTCTTTTAACAGTGCTTTTCCTTTCCCAGTACAGTCTTGGATGTCTCTGATGTTTTGTAGCTTTTGATTTTGATTTGGTGCATAGAAAAAGGTCTCCTCTTAATAGGGGCACTTGTTAAAACAAGTAATTATATTAACAAAAAATCCTCAACCTGGTTTACTTAACAGGTTAGCCCCGATCCTGCAATCTGATCCTTTGGTTACCTCCAGTGGGATTCAGGCTGGGTGTGGGGGTCTACCCACATAGATGTCACTGAGGGATTGGGACTTTAGATCATTACAACTGTAAAGATTTTAACATTCTAATGTATTCTCCATGGCTGATGTTAGCTGACTTCCAACCTTACTCAATTTGGATAATGAAACTAGACTGGTCAGTTTCATTTCGTTCTCAGGTCCCAGTACAAAAAAATCAGCATTCCAAGGGGATATTTACATTAAAAAGCCCTTTTTGATTTTGTTGGTTTGTTTTGACATTACCTTTGTACAAAATCCTTTATAAAACAGAAATCAAACCCAGATTGTGGACATAAACTATCCTGACAATATCCATAATGCACCCACAGTGAGCTCTATGAAGATCAGTTCAGTCACTGGAGCGGTTTCGATGCTAACCAGCCACCCTGTGCCATTCCTTTAAATAGTCAAATGGGCTTCCCCGTATTTCCGTTTCCTTTGGTTCTGGCTCAGACAGAATATATTATTTAAATAGACACTCCACTTCTGCAGGCGCCACTTGGTCTATTTGCCATGTAAACACACACAACAGGACTCTTTCAGCGTGGGTTACAGAAATATCTCAGTAACGCAGCGTGCAGCAAACAGCAATTGTTCCATACTAGCTGCTCTAATTGACCAGGACCTAACTGTTGGCTCTGGCTGCTTATTGCCCTCTGAACAAGAAGCCCACCATGATCAGTAGTATAGCCCCCTCTGCTGGTTAACTGGGACAACTGTAACATTCTGTATCATGAAATCTGTCATTCTGTATCATGACAGGTTTCAGAGTAGCAGCCGTGTTAGTCTGTATTCGCAAAAAGAAAAGGAGTACTTGTGGCACCTTAGAGACTAACCAATTTATTTGAGCATAAGCTTTCGTGAGCTACAGCTCACTTCATCGGATGCATCCGATGAAGTGAGCTGTAGCTCACGAAAGCTTATGCTCAAATAAATGCGATGAAGTGAGCTGTAGCTCACGAAAGCTTATGCTCAAATAAATTGGTTAGTCTCTAAGGTGCCACAAGTCCTCCTTTTCTGTATAGGTTCTGTTTTGCTGTGGCTTTGAAGTTAGTGAGACTGTGAGCACACAGAACTACTGTAGCAATAGCCATGAACATGAATTCTGGGTAATGATATGCAAATTAGCACCCCCATTCACTTGTCCTATCTCCAGCACTGACACCACAAGTAGCTTTGACATTGAAGCAGAGTTGCTTTGAGCTAACCGTGGGGCCATAAATATGGATTTCAACCTCTCAGAGCAGAGGTGGGCAAACTATGGCTCGCAGGCCAGACCGTCCTGCCCAGCCCTTGAGCTCCCGGCCGGAGAGGCTAGCCCCCAGCCCCGCCCCTGCTGTGCCCCCTCCCTTGCAGCTTCAGCACTCTGGCCTGCCGCTCCTGTCGGGGAGCGTGGCAGCAAGCTCCTGCCGCTCTGAGAGGCATGGTAAGAGGGCGGGGAGCGGGGGTTGGATAAGGGGTAGCGGGTTCCGGGGGGCAGTCAGGGGACAGGGAGCAGTTGGAATGGGGCGGGGTGGTCAGGGGGCGGAGAGCGGGGGTGGGGTTGGATGGGGGTGGGGTTCCAGGGGGTGGTTGGGGTGGGGTCCCGGGAGGGGGCGGTCAGGGGACAAGGAAGAGGGGGGTGGGGTGGGGTTGGATGGGTCAGGGTTCTGAGGGGGGCAGTCAGGGGGCGGGAAGTGGGAGGGGGTGGATAGGGGTCAGGCTGTTTGGGGAGGCACAGCCTTCCCTACCCGGCCCTCCACACAGTTTTGCAACCCCGATGTGGCCCCCGGGCCAAAAAATTTGCCCACCCGTCTTAGAGCCTCAGAAAGTTGGCCTAGCATGGGTAAAACTGGAAGTACGGATGACCCACATGCAGTAAAGTGAGGGGGTACTGAACGAAAAAGCTTCACAATACTGGCTGTACAATGTTGCTGAAATGAGATGCTTATGAGTAACTACAAGATAGCCTATATTTTCAAAAGTGACTATGGATTTTGGGTACCTCAATTTTGGGGCCTCCCATTTGGGTCCCTTTAAAAGAGCCCCATTTTCAAAGGGCAAGAGCTCAGCATTTTCCAAAGCTCAAGTCCCTCTAAGTTCTTTGAAGGTCACATATTAGGGCCTCAGAAGAACTGAGCAAGGTTACGCTGAATGCCTGACCCACAGAAAGCTATGACATTATTGGTATTTATAAACCACAGTGGGTGGCCACGTCTCTTTACAGAGAGGGCAGGGCACCACAGGGCAGGAGTTGGTTTTTTTCCCACATAGGATCTCCAAGCTTTTCAGCGTCTTATCCAAGCTACGAGTGCACCACAAACACCCCAGTATGACTTTGCTTTTCTCCACATACCATGCGCGGTCTCCTGGAAAGCCTTTTGTATCTCTTTCAAAAGCTGCTCTGCCACTGCTGGCAAAGTGGCCTCCATCTCCCGTGACACCCAAGTGAACCCTGTAATCAAAACAGCAGAGGGCAGGGAGAAGCTGGGAAATCATTAGCGTCACCACAGATACAGTAATTAGAGATAGTTTATTCGGGTGAAGGCTGATTTCAACCCCCAGATGAGGCAAAGAGAAGGGCACTGATTATTTATCAGCATTTCTTATACAGTAAAAGCTGTTTTATCCGGCACTTCATCAACCAGAAAGCTCTATAAAGCGGCATTTCCGATCTTCATTGAAATTCTGGTTTATAATTCAATTGGCATGGGGCCGGCAGAGGTTGGGGCATGGGAGGGAGCTTGGGGCAGGAGATTGGGGCGCGGGAGGGGGCTCAGGATGCTGGATCTGAGCGACGCTCACCTTGGGCAGCTCCCTGCAAGCAGCAACCTGTCCTGGCTGCTCCTAGGCCGAGGCTGGAATGCTGAACTTCTCCACTGGGAGGCGGGGGAATCAAACAAAGGATTCCAGCCTTATGGAAATCCTATATAAGATGGGTTTCAGAGGAACAGCCGTGTTAGTCTGTATTCGCAAAAAGAAAAGGAGTACTTGTGGCACCTTAGAGACTAACCAATTTATTTGAGCATGAGCTTTCGTGAGCTACAGCTCACTTCATCAGATGAAGTGAGCTGTAGGTGCCTCTGGTTAGTCTCTAAGGTGCCACAAGTACTCCTTTCCTATATAAGATGGGGGAGGAAAACAATCAAGGTCTTCAGTTCCTTTCTCCTCCACCTTCCCACCCAGAGAGATACTTGAAAACGCCTGGAAACAAAAAGACTGGAACTGGAGCCGGGGGGGGAGGGAACTGCTTACCCCAGCTGGAAAGATATCTGGCCTGTGAAGGAATCTACCTAAGACAGTATCTAAGGTGAGGAATTATTATTTGTAACCAATTTATTTAGTGAATAAAGCTTAGTTTGCGTGCTTTGTTTTATTTACTTGGTAATCTCCTTTGTTCTGTTTGCTACCTCTTTACCACTTAAAATTCACCTTTTGTAGTTAATAAACTTATTTCTTGTTTATAATATAATCCAGTTTATGTAATTTCTAACTGGGAGGGCAAGAAGTTGTGTACATCTTCCTCCACATTGAGGGAGGGGGCAAATTTCCAACCTAGCTTTCCAGTTAAAAAACGGGCACCTGTCACCCCTAAATGGCACCCAGGCACAGAAGCTAAAACCCAGGCTGGTAGTAATCCTAGCAGAAACAGCCTAATTACTCAAGTGATTCCACCCTAGAAACCAAGGACGAGGGACTAGAGAATTAGGGCTTCACAGGACAAAGTCTCCAGCCTCAGCTATCAATAACCACTCTGTCATGGTTACTAACAGCTGGGAATTGTCCACAAAGAGGCCTTCACACTCCCATCCACCCAGAACATAGTCTCTTTCGGCACAGCAAGTGCATCACTCTACTCCTTGCATGAGCTCGCCCTGACCTGCTTATGAGGGGGCAGGCAGAAACATCTGCTCAATTCAAGATGGACCACGGCATGCTGGGACATACCTCTCTGCAGGGCCGCACGGCATGCTGGGATAGTAGGGTTCCCAATTTTGGTTGGATGTCTGCCTGGAGGTTCCATCACATGACATAATCGTTAATTAGAGATTAACCTTGAATTGCTGGAGACTCCAGGACAATCCTGGAGGGCTGACAGCCCTAGGGCACGTGCCTCTCTGTGTGGCCGCACGGTATGCTGGGACATGGCTCTCTTCTGTGGGGGCCGCAAGGCATGCTGGGAGGGGACATACCTCTCTGTGTGGCCGCACGGCATGCTGGGACATGGCTCTCTTCTGTGGGGGCCGCACGGCACGCTGGGATAGGCTATGTCACTGCGGGGCCGCACGGCATGCTGGGAGGGGACATACCTCTCTGTGTGGCCGCACGGCATGCTGGGACATGGCTCTCTTCTGTGGGGGCCGCACGGCACGCTGGGATAGGCTATGCACTGCGGGCCGCACGCATGCTGGAGGGACATACCTCTCTGTGTGGGCACGCATGCTGGGACATGGCCTCTTTGTGGGGCCACGCACGCTGGGATAGGCTATGTCACTGCGGCCCACGCATGCTGGGAGGGGACATACCTCTCTGTGTGGCCCCACGGCATGCTGGGACATGGCTCTCTTCTGTGGGGGCCGCACGGCACGCTGGGATAGGCTATGTCACTGCGGGGCCGCACGGCATGCTGGGAGGCGACGTGCCCCGCACCACCACACATCCCATGTCTGGGGCCTGGCTCGGGCCCAACCCCCGCCGCGCTACGCCCCCCCCACCCCCGCTGAACTGGTCACATGACCTTCAAACGTCCCTTCCCCTTGGCCACCTTCCTGGTCACATGAACTCGCTACTTCCGCCGGGCGGGTCACATGATCAGGGCCCGCCCCCTGGCGCCTGCGCGTCACGGCCCCTGGCACCTGACCGAGCGCCGGGCCGAGGGTCTGAGGGGGCGGGCCGGGCCGGGTTGGGCATGCTGGCGGCGCTGCGCCGGGGGCCGGGCCTGCTGGCGGCCGCGGGGAGGCGCTGCTCCGGGGCGCGCCTGCCGGCCGGGAGGGGGGCCGCCTGGGGAGCGGGGTCCCTGCGGGGGCGGAGCGGCCCCGGCCCCGGCCCCGGCCCCGGGGGCGTCCTGGCCGCCCTGGCAGGTGAGAGCAACGGGAGTCGGTGGTCGGGGGCGGAGGGGGGTTCGCTTTTGGGGGGCTGACGGGGTCAGTTACTGGGGTTTGCTGGGGGCTGGATGCACAGGAGCTATTGGGGGGCTGGCAGGTGGGGGCCTGGCAGCGGGGGGTTATTGACCGGGGGGGCTGGCAGGTGGGGGCCTGGCCAGCGGGGGTTATTGACCGGGGGGGCTGGCAGGTGGGGGCCTGGGCCTGGCAGCGGGGGGTTATTGACCGGGGGGGCTGGCAGGTGGGGGCCTGGCAGCGGGGGGTTATTGACCGGGGGGGCTGGCAGGTGGGGGCCTGGCAGCGGGGGGTTATTGACCGGGGGGGCCTGGCAGCGGGGGGTTATTGACCGGGGGGGCTGGCAGGTGGGGGCCTGGCAGCGGGGGGTTATTGACCGGGGGGGCTGGCAGGTGGGGGGCCTGGCAGCGGGGGGGTTATTGACCGGGGGGCTGGCAGGTGGGGGCGGTGGGGGGGCTGGCAGGTGGGGAGGTGGCTGTTGGAGGAGACTGGTAAATAAGGGATTATTTGGAGTCAGGGTGGGGGGAGGCGATGTCTGGCCTGTTAGGTACAGGAGGGGAGGGCAGAGTAGGCGGGGTGCTGACAAGGAGCTTGGGCTGGGGGCAGGAAGGTGGGGAAGGGGGCAGGACGTGAGATGGAAGTGGAGTGGAGGTGATGAGGCCAGGGCACTGCGGGATATGGGAAACCTCCTTGCATGTGGGTGCAGTGGAAATGGGGGTCTGTTACAAGTCACTGTGGGGTAGAAGTGGCACTGGGTGAGTGACTCCAAGCTGTGGAGCCAAACCTGCTCTTTGAAGGGATTCCCAAGTCCGTGCTCCCGCTGGGAACCCTATCCAGCAGCCCTGGGCAGGGAAGGACAAAGCTCTCTCAGCTGTCCAAGTTCATCCAGTCAAATGTTTCTCTTCCCAGCTTTCACCTTGTTCTCTAAAAATGCTGAGGAAGAGAAGGAGACAAAGGAAGGGGAGAGTGCAGGAACTGAAGACACCATTATATTCCTTTTGAAGAAAGCCAAGGTAACGTCACAAGGACCTAAATTACGATTAGTTGTATTCGTACAGCTCCAAGAGCTCTTGTCACAGACTAGGACCCTCAGCTTGTTACCCACTTAGCTTTCTTATTAAATATACTAACTTCAATGAAATAAGCATGCTGGCTTGGTGGCGAATTGCTGGGCACTTCCACTGCAAGAGCCTAATGGGAGGCCTTTTGTGAGATGAACTCAGCACTCTCAGCCTTGCATCCTACTGATGAGCCAGTCCAGACACTTGGAGGCATGGATGGGGGGAGGGAACCCAAGTATCCGCTAGCACTGAGGATCCCATAAGGAGAGCAGAGATGAACTGCTCTTCCCAAGTCATTGATCAGGGCAGCAGCTGGAAGTTCATGCTGTTCTGTCTCTGCTCCTGTAAGCAGCATTTGCACAGGTCTGTTCACCTGCACAGTGATGCCCTTGCTTGGCCTGCTGATACCCTGGGGTCAGCATTCCCACATACTGGGATCTCTAATCATTGTAGGTTTTCCCTTCTTTCCACTTCTAGCTCAGCATCATGAAGGGGGAGCTTGAGGAAGCAGAGCGGATTCTGCACGAAGCCGTCCGACTCTCCCATCAGTCAGACAACAAGAGAGCCATCATCTATACCTATGACCTGGTAATACTCCCAGGAAAGCTCTGTGTGAGACAGGGGTCCTCACAGCTGCTGTGGATGTGGTCTCGGTCTCTCTGTCCCAAGCATGGGCTCAAACCTGTTCTAGCAGCCTCTGAGCTTGATAAATGTATGACTGGAATTATATGACATGGCTGGCTTGGATTGCAGGGGCCTGGACTCCCTTGCAGTCTTGTGTTTTTACATTCCTGTTACTTCCCTTGCCCTCCACTGGGCAGTAATTTCAGCAGCTGGTAACACTTGTTTGCTGGGCAGAAGTTGCAGGTTAAAAGAGGGGAAACAGCTTTGTGCAAAGCTAGCCCAAGGTCAGCAATAGCCTCACATGGGGAAGCTTTGGCATACCTGAGCTCTTTTCCTGCTTCTTTTCTAGATGGCAAACCTTGCGTTCCTGAGGGGTCAGCTGGACAGCGTGAGTAAAGTCCTATCATTTGAGTCTGTGAAGAGCCCTGTACTGTGTCTGAGATCTTCAGAGGGCTGCCTACAATGTTAAGTATTATGGCCCACAGCTGGGTTATACTAAACCAGTAGTTCTCAAACTTTTGTACTGATGACCCCTTTCACATAGCAAACGTCTGAGTGCGACCGTGCCCCCCCCATTAATTAAAAACACTTTTTTATATATTTAACACCATTATAAATGCTGGAGGCAAAGCGGCGTTTGGGGTGGAGGCTGACAGCTCACGACTCCCTAGGTAATAACCTCACGACCCCTGGAGGGGTCCCGACCCCCAGTTTGAGAACCCATGTACTAAACAATTCTGTTAAGGCCAGTTTCAGACATAGATTGCCTATCTATCACCAGCTAAACCTGGGCGCTGGCTCTTTAATATACTTTCTCTTTTGTTTCAGGCAGAGAAGCTCTTCAAAGCAGCAATGAGCTTCTTGCTAGCTGGCGACATGAAGCAGGTAAGGGCTTCTCCCCACAGGCTTCCTGCTGGGCGTGAGGTCCCCACAGCTGCTGTAGCATTCCTTACACTACCTCTTGCTTGGGGAAGATGTGGCCTTGCTCCATTCCCTACAGCTCCTCCTATGGGGAGCTGCTGGTACTGGAGTGGCAGTGAGCTTCCCTGCCATTTAAGCAGCATCTTCTAGAGGTAGCAGTTCATTTACACCATGTATAGGGCATTATCTTGGCCTGTGTCTGGTCTCTGAGGAAGCAGTGGTTCTGCTGTAAGGGTCAAAGAGAGGAGTGATTGTGGCTGCCCCCTCTAATGTGCCTTTGACTTCTCTCCCTCCTGACAGGATGACAATGCCATCATTGAAATGTCCCTCAAGCTGGCCAGTATCTATGCTGCTCAGAACCAGTGAGTACCAGGGGGAGGCTGGAGTGCAGATTGTTAGCTCCAGGATACCAGTGGTGATTTTGGGGCAGAGGAAGCTCTTTCTTCTGATCTGGGAAGGATAAGAGGTCCTATGTTGAAGGGTTGGGGGGTTACCCATCCTACAGGGTATTCTCAACTTGGAGACCTCAAAGTCAGTGACTTTCATGAGCTTCCTGTGTGTGAGTCACATATGTGGCACCTGTGTCCCAGCAGCAGGCAAGACCCAGCTGATCTGCATCATCCTCTCCAGCTAGGTCTCTGCCACTTAGATGGAAATACCTGCAGACAGCTGTAGGGACAAGTCCCATTGATCTGACAGAGAAAACCCACTGAACGCCTTTGGGCTCAATTTCTGTGTTTACAGATGTAGTTGGTGGCTGTCTGGTTTGACAGCGCGGTAGGGGAGTGCTCTGTCTGTAGGCCAGGGGCAGCAGCAGGGCACACTCCATCCCCTGTGGGCAAGAGAGAGGCTACTTCTCCAGAGCTGTCAGAACCCTGGGCCTGTTTGCTGAGGTGACCAAGAACCAGGCCAACAGAATGGGAGGTGAGGGAAGGGTCACAGCAGGAAGCAACTGACCCCCAGGGTAATGGTAATGTGGCTGTCTCCCAGAAATGCCCAGTGTGTGGTGGTAGTGAGCTAATGCTGCCCTGGCGGTGTGGGAGGAGTGGCCTGGATTTGCTGAGCTCTGACCTTCGCCCTTTATTGTGCAGACACAAGCTGGCTCTTGCTGGCTACCAGTTCTGCATCCTGACCCTGGATGAGAAGATAGCCAAATACAAGGACTTGCCTGAGGATGTTCTCCCAGGTAGGAAGCTCCTGGGCTTTTGCTGTTGTCAGTGTGGCTTTCTGCCTCTCTAGGGATCTTCCTGTGTTGCCATTGGCATCTCTCCTGCCTCTTACAGCCCCTTCCTCCCGTTCCCTCACTGGCTTCTCCTTTCGTGAGCTGCATTCAAGCTCTGTGTCCTTCCCTTCCTGTACTTACATCTGTCCTCCTTTCCTCCACCACCCTGTCACCTGTGCACTCCCACCTCCAGTCTCCCTGTGTCTGCTCTGGCTCTAATGCTTCATGCTGGCTCTGTGCCCATGGAGCCCTTAATCTGTTTTACTGCCCAGCTGTCCTGCCATTTGTCACAGCCATACCCACTACCTGTGCCTCACCCTCTGCATTTGCCATTAAGCTAGGTGGGGCAGGGCAGAGATCTTGTCTCAGGAGTGTGCAGGTGTTGC